GGTATAAATTTCTAGAACAGTGTGTAATACTTTGAAGATTGGAAAGTATTCAAAATTTGATGTATTGTAAAAGAAAAGAAAAAAGGAAAAAAAAAATCAATTAACTTAGAAATACTGCGTATTCGGCATGTAGTTAATTAGTAGATGTTGTTTTCAACTTAAGGAAATATTCAAGTAATCATAGTGGTAAGAATTCGAATAAGCATCTGAGTAATTACACTAACAAAGATCTAATAAACATTTTCAATATAAATTTTGTTACATTATCGAAATTTTTACTAACCGTGTAAGATAGCTTCTATTAATTGATCGACATTCATTTGTGAAGAATATGCGCTCAAGGTGTCAATATTCTGGAAATATGTTGGATTACCGATAATAATACGAGGCGAACTAGTTGGATTCTCTTCTGCCATCTGTTTTAATAAATCTTTCGCAGACTTCATATCATTCTTATACATTTTCCGGTTTCTGAAAATTAATGTTCCAAGTTTGAGACTTCATTAACCGATGTTGATTTGATTTCACAAATTTTTGAAATGATTTCAAAAATTGCTTATACATTTATTTTAGAATGCAGATAAAGAAGAAACTTGTTGCACCTGAATATTACCTAAAAGTAGTCCAACAAATAAAGGATAAAAATGATTAGGTTTAGTAGGAAAAACAATTCCATCCTTTTATATTGAGAATAAATAATGATTAGACCTGTACATAGCCACATCCGGAACAAATATTATGTTTGTAATTCGTGATGACCATGGAATTTTACGAAATGATTCAATTGCACTAAAATTTTTATATTTTGACAAGCATTTAAATGAAAGACTAAAATTTTCGAAATTCAAAAAATTTCAATTACTTATAGTTAAGGATTTATTCATTTCTACTGCAAAACAAAGAAACAAAAAAAATATAAAGTATGATTACTTCGTAACACTAATGTCACTATTCGACTTCACATCATGAAAAATGTTTTCTAATTCACAAATAACTTCCGTCTTCGATAGCAATTTGCTAAAAGTTGTTTGATCATTGATTTCTTCGATGACATATGTTGTACAAGGATTATCGTTCCTTTCTATTACTTTCTCAACAATTGTTAATATTTTATCCTGAAGAAAAAAAATCTATTTCACTTCAATTCTTTCTATTTTTTATTCATTCTAATTCAGTTTCATACCATTTTACTCATGTTTTAATAATATTTGAACGCTGTATAATATTACCCTGTATAACATTCCTTCAGTTTTATTCTCTTTACCTTCAGCTGTACTTACTGTTAGAACGATAGTTTCGGCAGGTATTATCTTTGTGTTTTCTATTCTGCTTGTTGTTGCCTCTAAAATTAAAGTTTATTTCTATATTAATAGGTATAAATGACTTCACCCTTTTCAATATTTTCAAAATTTCATTCAACAGATTGTAAACAGAATGACGAAAATGAATTGTAGAAAAGTAACTTGAAATTGTGATATCAAAATATATTCCAGTGATATTATATTGGTGATAACTACTCTTAGTGATATTATCATCTTTTTTATTGATCATTCTTATAAATTGGAAACTAAAGAATTGAAATTTCGACCAGTTTCATTGTCGTCTGAATGATGATGACGGCTTTTAATTATTATTAGTGTAACCGGTACAATAATAGTAGCAATTATAATAAGTAATAATGTGCAGGCAAATAAGATCCATTTTTTTTGACCACTATAGTCCACAATGTACACTTTCCTTGCCATGCACTTTCTTTAATTTTAATCAAATTAATGGTGCTGTAATCGAGTATTAAATATTTTAATTCCAATAGTCTCAATTTCACACAAAATCTGCTAATGCTAATAATACAACCATTAAATTACGCAAAAATTCCGCGTTGTAAGCATTTAGTTCTAAATGTAATTGTGTGTCGAATATATTATTATTACTGACATATTAATTTTTAAGCCATTTTTATGTTTTTCCACTTGGAATGGAGAATGGAAAAAAGAATGGAGCCAGTAATTCTCTCTCTCTGATGTAATAAATTTAAATCATTTTCTTTTAAAAATTTAAAGTTGAAAACAGTATGTATGACTGAGTACTATTGAATAGCCAAATAAGGAAAGACAAATTTTTATTTTTTTATTCTTCGAAATTTTCTCTCTCATTTATATATTTGCAACTTATTTACAAAGCTATTAATGCTTTAATGGTTTAAGCTTTTTTCAAATGATATCACTGAATTAATAATATCGACATAAAACCTGAAACTGTTATGTCAGCTAGTCTGAAAGTTTTAAAATTAATGAAGTAATTGTGCAGTTAAATAAAATCAGACTAACACTTTTTATATAACTAAGAATAACGAATAATAATATAAAGCATTTTGAGTGATTGTTGCAAAATAACTGATCACATTTGGCATGTCAAAAAGTTTTCATAACTTAACTGATCCATCAATTTACTGATAAGACTGATAATTGTTCAAGACAAATCAACATTCCCTAAGTTATTATTCATTATTACTTACAGCTTATTCACAAAACAGCTAAGTGATATGGTTGAAATTAATTTAATTTAAATTAAATGTTATTTTAAAATTAGCACATATATCAGCGATACATTTCAATCCATACCGTAAAAATCTCTGCGTAACATAAACTTAATTATTTGCCTTATCTGAAATTTAAATGCAATTGCTATTACCAGATCATCACAAGAAACTTAAGGTCGAAATACAAATTTAAATTTGGAAGAATTGAAATGATTGCGACCCTCACTACATGCCATATATTTGATGAATTTCGAGCAACACTAGCACTGTATTAAATTCAACAACAAAAAAAAAAACTCGTCCCACTTCAATAAAATATCCATTTTGTTGTTTTTCATAGCGCTAGCAATTAATTACTCGAATACTACTTCATACCTTTCTAATATTATCACCAACATTTGCAATAAAATATTTGTTTACCTTCCTTTCTATTTTTATTATTTCCAAATTTTTTTGACTTTCAGTCGGATCAGCAGCAACATACAATAATTATTGCTACCCAAAACTGGATAATGATGCATCTATTTTGAATTAGTGATGGTAAATAGACATCCAGAAATGAGCTGGAAATTTAATTTCATGCTAACTTCTAAATTGTTCAATTAATCGGTCAACCAGGTAAGATTCAATGGTTTTAATAGCTTTTTTTATTAATAATTAATTGTCACTTAGTAAGTAATTTTATCTCAGAGATACCACCATTTTGAATGTGAACCAATCGAATTAATTACTTAATTCCAACTTCAAATTTTCTACTTTTATCTGTTTGATAGCGTTTATTGAAATGTTTCCATCATTATGTAGCACTAGAAAATAACAATAATGCAAATTTTAGAGAAAATATTAATTCAAAAACTATTATTAAGCAACTGAAATATATACCGAATATGTCTACGTTATTAATATCATGATCATATTTTGCATATAAAAGTATTAAACTGAAATACTTACTACACCTTTCAATATAAGAATCTTTTTTGGCAAAATTTGCGATAACCAGAATAGTGAAGATCAAAGATTAAAATAATTCGATGTTAGTTTGAACATTTCGATAATATTTAGCACCCGTTATAATAATGTTCATATTGTAAAGGAAAGGAAAGAAAATTAAAAATCAAAAAATTTGTATACGTCTGCTCGCTAAACTGATTACATGAAATGTAAAAATATATGTTTACATAAATATAATAGTACAACGACCGCAGATAGTACTACTTTACTAACAGATAAATTTTGCTGTAAACAGTTTTGTTGCTTTCATTTACTAATAAATGAGCAAAGTCCTTCCCATTGTGTCTCCAATGTATTTATATTGTCGATATAGTGCTTAAAGTTAGAAATTTTCAAACTCCTTCTTGGTTTTCTCGAATTATCATACGACTAAAAATCAAAAAATGAGCTTTCTATGAATTATTAATCATAATTTATTTTGTATAACATGTTTTGCATTCAGCATCACGCATAACATGCCAACAAATTAGTTTTACTAACGAAATAGTGTAAACAGGATTCCACAATTCATAAAAACCGAATATATCCAATCCGCACATCTAAATCGGACTGACGACTATATAATAGTAACTAATAACAGTAGTAACAAATAATAATTTAATAATTAAAGAAAAAATAATATTAGTAATGATAGTAAATAATAGCGAATAACAAATAACTGAGCAATAAATAAATTAATAAGTAATAAATCATTGATAAATAATGTTTTATTTGCATTGCACATGATCTGCTCACATCCCCGTGATCGTTTGAAAAAAAAAAAAAACTCTATAAAATTTCACTTTGGAACAATATCTACAACTATTCGATTATATGTAGCTGGATGTGGTTATCAACAGATGCAACAACAATAGTTGTGAAACCCATCTAATTTCCCACTAGACTGCAGATTTGTACTAGTTGGAATCCAATAATAAATAAATCTAAATGATAACAGCAACTATTAGTTACATAATTTTTGCTTTGAATATTAAAAAAATATTTCTAAAAAAAAAAAAAAAAAAGAAAAAGACTAATAATCATATTGATTGCTAGCAATGAATCGAGAATTTTATTATCGGGAAATGATTATGGCATAAAAATGCATATAACAGATATGCAACAGCATTTTTCTCGTAGAAGAAACGAAGAAGAGAAAGAAATTCATATAACAATAGAGACATAAGCATGGTCTTTCTGTAACGCGTTATTATAAAGTTGAAAATAATGGACAGAGACAGAAGCTGATTACATAAAAGCTAACAACTTTATACAAAGAAATTCAAATGATAATAAAGACAATTACCAAATCACAGATGAATTTGGTTTTGGATCCATAAAAAAATAACAAACATTATTATAGTATTTAAATCTCTTAATTCCTCAAAAAATTTTGCATAACATTCAAAAAATGTCTTTTGGCAAATCAAGAAAAAAAAGATTGTCAATTAAAATAAATCAATATGATTTATCATAGCGCAAACAATCTTAGCAACAAAGTTTTTACCTCGAAAGCACGAAAATCTAAACTAACAAAACCTTCACACTGATTCCCTATCGCTGAATCATCAGTTTCAATGGATAAAGAAGAGATTGTTCTTTCCAGACCATCACCCAAATCAACAGAAACAATACGACTATGGTTAATTCTAAGTTTTACACTAACACCACCACCGAATGATTCAAATAAGCGGATAACCAATGTATTGACATCATCCTCGGCTGGTTTCACAGTGTCAATAACAACACCTATAAGTAGGTGGTGGCATGTATAGTTACGATTATAAATACTTCATATATTTCAGTTTTTTTTTTTTTTAGCAACTATGGTCTCAAATTAAATTACTCGGTAGCACAGTTCACTAGCTATTCTGTAACTCTGTGAGCATAATGGTTTAATAATAGTTTAATGAGACAGAGCATAAGAAATTTACACTGTAACAATGAGTAAATTTTGTCCGTAATTCTATTAAAAAAAAAAAAAAAAAAAAACAAATGAAGAGAACAAATAGTTAGGAAATCATATATTTGATTAATCCATATAAAGTCTAACCAATTAACCTAATAAAAAAGATAATTATTTCAAAAAGGAATGAACAAACCATCACTTCCATCGATTTTGAGAAATGATGAAAGCTTGTTGTTAGCATACCAACCATTAACGAAGCGAGTAGGATTATTAAATTCGTAAGCCGCTCTCATGACGCTCAAATTCAAATCATTACAAGGCTGTTGTATTGAACCGATGAAAGGATACAATGCATACGAAAACTAAAAATAATAAAAAACTGTAATTAAAAAACCTTCAAACAAATTAAATAAGTTCTGTTAATCAACGAAAACCATACATACCAAATTATTCTAACTGATAAGATTTTATGCTGATGTCTGTCGCAGAATTAAAACATTTGAGGCTTTAGTCCAATCAAAAAATTAATTAATTTAGACTTATCTATGCTAAAATCTCAAGTTAAAAAGTAAATTAATTTAAACTTACCTATGTTAACATGAGAAGTTATGTTTACAAAAAGTTACAAAGTTCATATTTTTTCGCTTCACTCCACATTTCTGTACATTACAATTTATATTCACAAAATCAAATATCATAAACAGCTGAAAATAAGACAAAAAATACTCTATGCTCTCCCATATCAGCAGTATCATCCGGAACTTTACTTGCTCGAAGCAAAGACAACGTCATGGTATTGCCAGTACACGAATGGCCGTATTTGCAATTGTTTAAAAGAGCAATGCCACGACCGAATTCAGTCAGAGCCATCCATTTATGTCCAACAACTTCATATCTCAAATATTTGGAAATAAATGCAATATACAAATCTTTATTAATTTGTTTCATATTGCCTTCAAAAGCAGCAACACTGAAGCATGTCATCTTTTTGTTTCAAAATCAAAACCGGATTATAATTTTCCCACCTAAAATTGAAAATTTGACCTAAACCTCCACACTCATCTATGATGCTCTCTTGTACATCCTATAATGCAAATTTCCTGCATGATAATCCATCATTATGTTGAAACTTCTTAAATTGTTTTGAATCACTGCGAAGTTTTTATGCTTCATTAGCAAAATCAACTGGTAGTCAAGTCTAGAAATTTAATAAAATACTATATAACGAAAGGATGGAAACAGTGTTAAATATTCGTGACAAAGACAAAGGAAGCTTACTTTGCAGCATCCCAAGAGGTATTTCGATGCGTTGGTCGTTTTACATGACCAAATTGTATGTCATAATAAGCATCCATATCATAGACATTTGCTGGGAACTCAACCTAAAATAAGAAAAACAACTAATGGTCTTTTTGTTCTTTCAAAGAGATAGAAGATATGCTCAGGAAAGAAAGGAAGTATAATGGTGGAGTAGTCCATGACAATCAAAAACAATACACTGGGCAACTTCTAAATATTTTGATTTTGAATATCGTTGATTAAAATACTACTATAACTAACTTTTAAAAATTTATGCGATTCATGCCATTGCACCGTTGTGTCGAAAATCAGATAAGGCAAATGTGCAAACATAGTAATATATTGCACTAAAGAGCTTTTTCCACTTATTGCAAATTCCACACGAATACAAGCTTCCAATGGTGTATTCTTAACTATAACTGCCTGCGAATCCTACAATCAGTACAGTTTTATAATTTTTAGAATAGTATCAAATCAACGAACAGGAAAGGTAATTTTATTTTAATGTCATAGGAAATAAAAGCAACTGACCGAATTAAGAACTTGTTTTGTTTCCAAATGGTAATCCATTACATCCCATGCATCCCAAAAAAGTGGTACATCATCAAAAATGACAAATTGATTAGCGAACTTATTTTCAGGTATTGCTGAGAAATTTTCTTTAACACTGTTCGCTTTGTTCACGCAGTGCGCTAATAGTTTCGTAATGCGACCCATCTAAACAAAAATTAGTGTTCTCTAAGACCTTTTTAAAATCAAGAAAGTAAACTGGGACAAGAAAGTAAACTGAAACGAAGTGAATTTCTGAAGCTCGACAAATCGATATAACAGAAAACCACAGAGAACGCCGTAATACCCGATAAGTGTTTAATGAGCTTACTCGGTTTCGAACTATCCGTATTAATCAGTAAAGATGAGCAATCTGCTTCCTTTTTTCTACTTTATTGCTGAAATCAAGAAACTTCATGGATTATTGTGACATTACCTTATCAATGGACGCAGTAATATAACGATTTTGCAGTTTGAATTCGCTATCATCTCCTAAAGCCAATGGTTTATTGCTCAAAGGTAAGTTGAATAATTCAAGTTCGTTCAAATGCATAATAGAAAACGGTTCCAAACGTAGAAGGCGATTATTATGAAATAAAATTCTTTGCCAATTACAACTGTTAATTACCCACTCATTTGGTGTTTTTTCATTGCTTTCATCTGCAATACTTCTTTTTATTGAAAAATCATTCACTTTATCAAACATGAAGCATTTAATGGATTAAAAAAAAGTTAAAGTTTAGTGCAAGCTTCAAGTCTACATACCTTTCCACTTCAATTGTTTTCCACCATCAGCAGCAAGCTCGTCCAATAAAACATTGTAAATCTCAACCGCATCGGCTACCACTTCCTTAATACAACTTCCTGGGAGAACATCATGGAACTGATTGAGTAAAAAACGTTGCCACTGCGATGTGAGAGATTTGCTCTCATTAAATTCAAGAAGTGACATCGACTAAAGAAAAGAAAAGGTTAACATTACAATATGTGAAACAAATTGCTTCACATTTGAGAGTAACAGATGTTGCCATCCAAATCTGTGATTCTTAGAATGCTTCTATTGTTAGCATTAGTCTCAACGCTACTATTTTGTTTCTTACTAAAGAAATTAAAAAATACGCTACAATCTCCCAAGGTGTCATATCAGTTTTAAATCTACATCTGGCACCTGAAGAAATTCATGATCTTTTAAAATGCTTTCTAGCAGCCTGTTCATTTTCTTGATCCTGGCTTGTGTAGTATATGTTGCATTATGCAGTTCCAAATATAATTCGCCTTTCCAACTACATAAATTATCCAAATCTTTCACCAGCTAAAAAGAAAAAAATGATCAGAAATAGAAATTATGATCTAAACAAGCAAAAATTTACATTTTGAGAACCTCAATGAAGAATTCCTGAGGTGTTGCATGCTGTACTCGAGGTACTCCATCACAATCTGCTAAACGTTCAGCTCTTTTCAACATATCTTCATTCGGACCTCCACCACCATCCCCAAATCCGTACAGCATCATTGCTATATTGGAACGCCCGTGGTCTGTAAAATTATGTCGAGAATCCAAACATTCTTTCACTGTAATCTGAAAACAGCTTCATATAATCGGAGATATAAGACACTACCACTTATTCTGACGCTTCCAAACCAATACTTATATTTCTAATTATGTGTTTTAGAAATATAATCATGATATGAAATGAATTTACTTGTGATACGTAATGATTTGGAGGGAAATGAGCGATTACGTATGTACCATCTATCCCAATCCAACGAAATGAATGATGCGGGAATTTGTTGATTATTGACCAGCTCATTTTTTGAGTGACAAAATACTGCATTCCACAGTGCTGCATTATTTGCGGGAGCTGTGCAGAATAACCAAATGTATCGGGCAACCAAAATATTTCTGAGAAACTAAAAATTTCAATTTATTAGCAAGAAGAAATAAGACCAAAACACAGGCATTATTAATATGAATATGAACTTTCATCTCTTTATTATTCAATGTCACATCGTCTTATTCTTTGCTTGAAACTTAATCTCTGGCCATATTTGAATGCACAGCAATGTATAATTAAGAAAGCACAACTTACACACCGCAAAACTTCTTGAATTCTCGTTGTCCATATAATAATTGCCTAATCATACTCTCACCACTAGGCAAATTTCCGTCCATTTCAACCCAAGCTCCTCCAACTGCGACAAATCGCCCGTCAGCTGCGAAATCTTGCATATTTCCATAAAGAGTTGGGTAAGACTCTTTCAACCATACTAACTACAAATATTCTAGATTCATTATTCCACTTTCATTTTGTTGTGAAGTTTGCAGAACCCAAACCATAATAAATCCTTACTTGTTGCGCTTGTGAAACTACAAATTTCATCTTCTTGTATTTCTCCATTAAACGCAGAGTTGCAGACCAACTTCGAGCACATTTTCGCCGTGTTTCTCGGTACCTAAATGCAAGACAAGAGATTTAAAAAAAAAATTATATGAAGGGAGAAAAAAAAAATTACCGCCATAACCACGCAGTATCAATGTGACAATTGCCCACTGCATACAGCGCCATCTGACTTCCACCATTTGGTTGACGAAAAAATTTTTCAGCTTGTAAATGACATTCCATTTGTGCATCCAGTGAAAAGTCTGATAAAACAAGGCAATTAATCTGAAACATTAAATAAGAAGTGACTAAATTTCACATCTCAAAAGGAGGTATAACTAGCAAATGCATTACCATATCATTAGCCACATACAATGCCTGATATCGTCTTGCTCCTTCTTTTGGTAATATTTTTGACATCTCCAACAGAAGTTCAAAGTCGATGATAAGATCGTGAATTGTTGCACGATATTCTGCTAATTCACAACGTTTCAGCTATAATAGTCCTTCTGTTTATGATTTTCTTCGAGTGATGTTTTTTGCCGGCCATAAGAAGCATTTTAAACAATATATATGGGACCGATTAGTACTTCGAATAATTTATCCATCTTCACAGGTCCTATTGCATTACCATCACCATCACCAAATCGATCGCTACATGATGCCTCGACATAAAATCTTTGTGTGGTCGGAGAAATAGAGATTGCAAGATCTGTACGTCCAAAATCCGGTGACAAACCTGAAAGTAGAAAGGTTATAAAATACTTTAACTAAATTCTGTTACGAATTATTAAGTTTAATTTAGTATAATTGGCAAAAAACAGTTAACGTTTCTAAAGAAGTTAATTTATGCAGGATTTCAGTGACCTATAAAGCGTGCGAAGTCTGGAGTACTCTGTCACATAACATCTCGGGTAATTAAACATGAATTATGGATCATTATAGGTCGTGCACTATCAAACCAAAACTAGTAGACCAGAATTAAACTAACACCTTTTATTGGTTGACCATCTGCGGACCACAGAAGCGCTTCGCAGTTAGGATCAAAGCGTAATACAATTTCCGTTTCACTCGTATAATTTTCGGGTAGAGTGATATCAACTTGAAACCAATGCGTTGTCCAAGTTGGACCAAACTTGAATCCCACATTTACTTCTATACCTGAAATGTAATTTTTAACTTAGATCAACTTATCCAAAAGTCAGCGATATTTCCAGTGTATGCTAACAATTTTGAAGCTAAAACATCGAAGAATGAACTTACAAGGATAAGAGAACATTATTAACTTGAGTGTAATAAAACAAAGCACCAAGTTACATTTGATTTTACTTGAAAATCAAAACCAAATGATGGAACTAAATCTCAAATACATGAAATGAATAAGATAAAATAATTATTTGAAGATATCTAAATAAAAACATCTATAAATAAATCTGGAGACCTTTAAATAAAGTATTAAAACTAATATACAATATAAAGACGTGAATTAAGCTACAAAAATGAAACAGTAACCAACATTAACTGTTATCGCAATAGCTACCTCGAATGGAAAGAGCTTCGACAGCTTCATGAAATGTTACAATATCGGAACCAAAATCATAATGTTTCACATGGATCGGATATGACTGCCCATAAAGGCGACCACGTAAGTTGCAATCTTTGAAGTGATGTTCGGAGATGAATTTCTCCACTCGTTCAACGGTTGTACGCTCATTTTTGAACAGTGCAGCTTTGTAAGTAAGTGTTTTATTCATTGTTGTGTCTCCTGAAATAATCAGGACTATGATTAGATACGGTGATAATCAGCACTGATCTAGATCAATATACCGAATATGGCTTATTTCAAAGAAAAGAGCTTACTCTGTAATATATGTGTTCTATTACTTTTCTCCCACCAATTCTTACTATCAAAAATGAAATGAATAATTCCACGAAATATTATCATAATCATAATCACAATCATAATGAATGGTAATAAATGATTGAAATCATAACCACAACGATAATAAATAATTGAAATCATAATCATAACAATAATAAATGACTGAAATCATAATCACAACCATAATAAATGATTCCGAGAAATCTTCCTAATGAATCCCCGAATAGAAGAAAGTATACCCAACCTTGCTAACAGTAACAGACTTTCTCACTATGCTAATTTTACAATCCATTGAAATTTATTATTCTCTGCCCTCTCTAATTTAGCCGCATTCTTTCTTTACTTGCATCGTCTGCAACTACGAACGAACACAGTCTCTCTCTCTCTCCACATCACTACCTTAGCTGATCATAGTATTATTTCAGTAATTTTTAATTAATTTACGAGAAATTAAAAACCCTTCAAATGAAACTTAAACCTCAATTTAAGAAATTTCATCGTGTTATGGCAAGTAAAACAGTCAGTAGCACTATGTCAATATTTTAATTTTACTTAAAATTTCCTTTTTAATGCACAAATGATATTGTCGCTAATTCTGTTAAAACGTGATTAAAATAATCATCAACGAGGTCGTAATCATAAGCATAATCATGATCATAATCATAGTCATAATCATAATCATAATCACCATTACAATCATAACCACGATTACAGCCATAGTCATAATTTTAATTATAATCAGAATCATAATCACAATTATATCATAAATGACATTGATACAACCTTGTCTGTTACTCAGAATCTTTTACAATCATCTCATATTTCTCATTTAGTTTATTTAGGAATATTCATCCATGTTAAAGTTAGAAAGTTGAAATGTAAATTTCTAATGAAATTTCATTATTCTAATTGATTCACTTATTTAAGTTGTCTCTTAGTTGTGTTTTGTTAATTTATTAATTAAATCCACAATTATTCCGTCTTTTGTTTCTTTTTTCTTCTGCATTAATTATGCATATATAAAACGAAGAGAAATAAATTAATGTTATATACCATAGTATTATGGAATGTTAAACTATACTTAGCATTTCATTGTAAATACGTCATTATAGGAAAATTCTAGTAAACAAAGTTTTCATTCTTCATTTGTAAACAATCAGATGCATTGAACAATAATTGGAAAAAATAAATTCGATTAAAAATTGAATAGTTTCAACAATAAAATTATAAACAAATTCGCTTGCATAAATATGCTTATGGCTAAAATTATGTAAACAAAAGTAATCAAAAAGGTGCCTTGTCGAGTGATGAATAAAACCTGAATTTGGGTCATGCAGTACTGGTTATGGACCCACTCCAATGGTACTTTAAGATAGTTCAATTCAAGAATACTAGTAATTATGTAAGTGAGCTATTGCAAACAAATTGATTACTACTTTTTACTTCCTATCAACGACTCTTCTGCTTTTCCTCCTATTTTGCATTGTAAAATTTGCCTGACCGTCAATTTTATGCAAAAAAAAAAATGACCGAAAAAGGACAGAGATCCTTTTCACAGAAGAAACGATGTATATGGGCGCCACTCGAAAAACCGCTTACGGATGTATTACAGAAATACTGCCGTTTTGTTGCCAGGTTCAGTACTTCCGGTTATCAATTCAAAATCAGCAATAAGATAAGCGAAATTTGATATGAATTTGAAATCCAAATTAAAATCAGTTCAACTGCTCTTAAGGACTCATTCCATCAAATTCATTTCTTATTTCCGGTTATAAAGATGAGTACAAGGCATTTTTATTTAGCACAATAAATCCGTCTCCTATCTTTGCTTGTCTTCAACTAATTGATCTTGTGAAAAATTAACACAAAAACTGGAAGAATTTTTTTTAATTCCTAGTTCGCAAGTAAAAGATTTAGTCGGTAGTTTTCTTTAACTTTTCTCTGGCAGTCTTTGAACATCTCGAAATTAAATTACTATTTTAACTCCGTCAATAATTTTCAAAAATCGAATATAATTTTGAATTTATCATATAAGTTTGTGAGCTATTACACTAGGATTTATCGTTAAAGTTTTTCGACATTGTTTCTCTGATATGTCATCTTGATGGATACATATTAGCAAAAATGGAATTGTTAATAAAATTTTTATTATTTCACTATTTGACATGACTTAAACCACAAATAAAATGCATGAATTTGCATTAGAAACAAGGGTAGAAATAGAAGTGCATGCACAGTGCCTGAAAATGAGGAATGAATTGTGGACTTCATCTGAAACGATTAATGAAAATGATGAAATGCTGGAATAGGCATCACAATATTCCAACATTTTATCGTTTAAATGATAATATACACAGAAAACAACAATATAGCATTCATCAAAATTATATCAAACTAATTGATCTGTCATCTGGCAAAAAGTTCAAATCTTATTAACTTAGTCAAATAAATTAAGGAATTGAAATTTCTGGAGATAAAACTTTTAATAACACAAATATTTAGAGATTCTTGACTAAAAAACTTGAGAATTCTAAACATTTGTGTAATCAAAGTTAAGCAGCATTTTTTTTGTTTTTTTTTTTTTTTTTTTCAATTTTTTAATTCTTTCTTTTGAAATACAAATTTTTATTTATTAATTTTTAAGTAGCTATCCAACAGATAGAATCTATAATACCTATAAGAAGTAACGAATTTTTAGTCTTATTCGAAAATAGTGGATGTCTAATCTTTTTAAATAGTAAGAATTATGGAGCTAATATGAAAAGTTAGCGTATTTCAAATTAGCTGAAGACCAAAATAAAATTAGAAAAGTTTTTGTCGACTTTTTCTTAATTATTTCATTACATTTTACTAAATTAATTACCTAACTGAAACACATACAAAGAATAAATTCTACTAAAGTCACATACTAGTGATTACTTCACAAATCAAATTTCTGAGCTAACTATAAACTAATTAATAACTTAAAGATTTTAAGTGCAAGAATATTTCACATAGACATTTTTCTTTTAAATCATATTTCAAAAAGGTTTTGTTCATAAAATGCCTTACTATTTATATTAAACTTTCTAACAAAAAAAGCTAACTTACCGATAACGATAATTAGCATAACAGTTTTGAAGCATACTTTCACAATATACAAATTTATTGTAGCCAATGGTAAAATGCCAAGTAAAATAGATATCGATGCTTGCAAAATAGGCCAACCAACGGTTTCTAATGTCCCACTTAATTGTTTATATGGAATACTATAGAATTTATTATTATTATTATTACTGTTTATTATTATTATTATTATTATTATTATTATTATTATTATTATTATTATTATTATTATTATTATTATTATTAATATTTCTCACATGTGCAATGATTAGCAAATAATTATATCAATATTTTTTTTTATTGCTTACTTTTTATCGTTTGATTGGTTATCAGTTTGTGATATGTAACTATAAGTGATATGAATTGCAAAATCAACGCTAAATCCAACAGACATTGCAATTGTTATCATTGAAATAGCATCTAAATTGACATTCCAAAATGTCATAAATCCCATTATTCCCAAAGCAATTGATCCTACTGTTAATGCAATTACAAGAGCGCAAAATGGTTGAGGAATTACCAGTAATGAAATTGGTATAATAACCACTAAAAAGAAAAAAAATTGAAAGAGTTGTTTGTTGCAAAAGTATAAACAATTAAACAAACAGGTAAATAATTTAGTGATTATTGTCGAAATTAATATCTCAAGATTGTATTTTAAAGAGAAAAGAAAAAAAAATGAACAATTAATAAGTTGAACTCAATTGTTGCTTATTTATAAGTTAAAAGATTTTAATTTCTATTATTACTTTAGTCATCATTAAGAGGAGGACGAGGAGGACTTGCCTTCATTACTATTTCGTTATCTTTTATTTTATTATCTAATCTAATTTTTATTTTATTATTCCTATTATCTATATCTAAAAATGCTGTAATTTAATGTTTTGTTCCTTTTTTTTTTGGATTTGAGAACAAAATTCACTTATTTAATTTAATTCAACAAATACATTTGCAATTTAAAAACAAAAAAAAGTTTTTTTTTTTTTTTTTTTTTTTTTTTTCCATTTTTTAGTCATACCAACAGAAATGAATAAATCCTGCAACGTTTGAGGCCAAATTACGTTCAACTGATCAGCTAATTGCCATAAAAGAGAATATGTTGTAATATTATATTGTGTTTCGTATCGCTTTGCTATGCTTCTGAATGGATATAAATTTTAATTAAGTGATAGTATTCTAAGAATTCCTAAGGATCACTAAAATGTAGTATTACTTATTGCCTTTACAGAAAAGAAAATCAAAATATGAAAATTAAGGTGTAATTAGCTCACTACAAAGGTCTCTTTACTTTACGAAAAAAAATTACTTTAAAATATCTAAAATCTTCCTAAATAGAAAAGTGTTAAATATTAATATCATCAAAACAAAAAGTACTATTAAAAATTAAATGGCCAAAGGTGATGAAACTTAATTACCTCATCTGTTCAGCGCATTGCATAACTAATTGTGAAGAATATTTCGGTATGTCAACAATTTGAGTGGACATTCGAAATGCTTGTATGGTTCCATTGTCACGCAATAAAATATCATAACGATATTTATCACTAGCCAATAAAAATGGCTGTAAATTTTCCTCGAATTCCTATATAAATTCATTATGATAATATTAGCAGTTATATTTTTGATTATTAAAATTTTAGAATGGAAAAATTTTTGGATTAGTTGTTTAATTTTTAAAGTTTAAAAGTTGGCAGTTGCAAATTGAAACTTTCATTTTCAAATTTTATACTTTGGTTCTAAAAACAACTTAAATATTTATTGTATTATAAGATAATCCTACTTTTACTCTAACTAAATTTTAATAGCGTCCAAAATTTGTTAGGACGATTATATTGTTAAATTTTAAAAAAAGAGGAGCATTTATTGCTAATATGCAAATGTCAACCTCTTTATTATTTTGTAAAACATCCCAAGACTGAGCACCAAATCCAAGATCATTGATAAAATCTTTGTAAGCAAAATACCAAAATTCTGTTGTATGCCTTCCACTACTGCAAGTGGTATTTTCAAATTCTTCCACAACTTTCAAAAATCTAATCCTGTCACTTTTTTGTGACATATCGGGCGGTTTCATTACTGCTATTTCAACTGCCGGCATTTTGTAATTGAAAAATTCTGCTCGTAGCTCCAGAAATTTTTTGGCTGATGAATTAGCTCTGAGAAGATTGGTTACCTGAAATTTGATCGTTTTTAATCTTCGTGAAAGATAACTTGCCTATTGATTGAATTCTAAATGCTATTTTTATAACGTGAAATAAATATAAAATGATAATGTTTTGTTTGTTGTAGTCATTCTTTTGACCATGTCTAGAGCACAAGACAGAAATAATTTAACAATTAAACTTATTCTCTTATGCTAAATCATTTGTAATATTTTTGTAAATTTAAAATTTTATCAAAAATTTTAAACATTCATTCTTTGCATAAACATTTCATCAAAATCCGAATAGCTTTTAATCAAATCTTACATCAAATCCAACTTTCAACTTTTTAATCCCAATTATTGCTATGAGAAAATAAATAATAAACAAAATAAATGCAATAATTCGAATTGTCCTGTATGCAAGAAATGGCGCATAATAATTTCTGATGAATTGACGGTATCCAAGTTCAGTGTTGCACGATTTCATCTAATAAAATAAACTAACAATTTTTGAAATGAAAATATGGAATTTTACTGATGGACTAAGTTAGAATCATTTGCAAAATTTCTTTCCTGTCAGCTACTTCAGTAATATAATTTCATAGAAACTTCAACTTTGAGTTATAAAATCGAAAATCATGAGAGTTATCAACAGCCATTATATTTCATGTAAAATATATAATAACTTAAAAATAGTTATTTGCGAATTAAACTAATCAAGCAGAAACTAAGCTATGATCAATTAATTTTTAGGCCTAACCTTGTTAAATACTTATTATGTAAATTGTTATTAAATAAATTTCATTACTGATTCTGCTAAATACAGATGAACGTTATGCATTCGCATGGAATATTAGGATGAAAAAATCCATAACCTACAGGGACCGCAGATGATGATAGATCTTGAAATTTTAAGTGGAGAAATTTCAGCCTAGGATATATGAGTTTGAAATCACTGCTCTTAGTACACTAAAGCACAAATACTAGCCAGAAGATTACTAAAATCTTTTTAAAAATTTAAATATGACATTATCTTGAATAGCAACTTTTTTTTATTTAAAATTTAAATATGACATTATCTTGAATAGCAACATCTTTTTAAAAATTTAAATATGACATTATCTTGAATAGCAGACCTCAGCATTACTGCATACTTTCTTAGAATTATTTCCACATTTAGATCCAGTCATATTGAAGATTTTCTGCAGTCTCGTAGCAGTTGCTGAAGTTATTGAAAAAGTTTTTAACTGATTAATGCAAATTGAAGCTAACTGTTAAATTTGTCTGATAAATGATAGATAAAGTGTTATATTGTGAACTGAAATTTTAACATACATTACGCTTCATATTATTCACTTATTAAAACTTGCAGAAAAAAATGGAAGCTTTAATGATTTAAGAAATATAAATATATATAACATAAACAGAAATAGATAAATGATTTAAGAAAAGACAATATAAAAAAAAACCGTATTCGTTTAAAGGAGTTGTTTTAACATAAAACAAATTGTTCCGACATGCTTCTTCCAGTCGTCCAAAAATCGCCAAAAATGCGACAAAAGCGCTTAAAGAATAACAAAAATTGAAAGCTATTGCTGCAGCAGAATAGTAGCAGAAATAGATTACCTAAAAAAGTACTCATTTTAATTTTGAAATGAAATTTCTTTCATCCTTGATATATTACATTTTCATTCAACTATTCAAAGTTTAAATGATTATGGCTATAATGATTGTCATTATAATCATTTAACTAGTTTAGTAACTGATTAACTAACTTTCCTACATGTGAAGTCTAAACATATAGAGATTCTAAATTTTGATTTCAGATTTGAAATTTTAGCATTATTTATTTCTACTATTCTCATTTTCACTATTCTGGGATATACTCTTTTATATTTTCTTATTTAAATACTCTTCTGCTTATTTAAATTTATTTTTTACAAATGAAAACTTACAGCTGGTAATGGCGTAATAGAACCAATAAGAAAAGCTGTAATATCGGTTACCGATGTTATGGCGATTGATACAGCTGCATGTTGCATGGATACTTTGATCCGTTCCTCAACGGACAAATTTGAATTTGTTTCGTGCCAAGCAGCTAACATCAAAAATGTATCGTCGATACCAACTGCTGTATACCAATCTTTTCTTTTTTACTTTCATAATTTTTTACACTTCTAACTAAACCTAATTATAAATCTTCACAAATGCTAATCGAAATGAATCTACGTAATCTGGAAGTTATTGCCTGTGTAAGAAAAAAAAAAGTTATATTTAATAAATAAAGCATTAAGTTATATTATCATCACGAAAGAAACATTCCCAAAATCAATCGAAATCTTTCTTTGAATTTTTTTTTAGTTCCTTTTATTTGTTCTGTACATATGACGCCTATTTCACTGTAAAGAAAAGTGAAAAAAATTAAGTTATTTACTAGATTATTAAAATTATTATGCAATATTAACTAACTAGAGTAAGCTTTATATCTCGCTGTAATCGTACTACTTCTGTTGCTCTAAAAGACTTTGGTTATTTATTATTTTATGAAAGAGTATTGGCTACCTCCAGTAAATTTAATTAGGCACTTTTTTATCGGTGCTTTAACAATAAGAGAGGCGATTTCAATAGTGAAATCTCAAAAATTCATCATGTCATATGTAACTACTGTTTTCTATCATGGCTTCAGTGAAATTTGAACTAATTAAGTGGTAAATTAAAATCACAGACAAGTAAGAAATAATTTACTGAGGCTAAGAAATGGCATAATTATCACAATATCAACGAATGGGACGTTGAACAGCAGCAATAGACCAATTGCTGATATGATAGCCATAAGGCTAATGATTACACCGATAAATCCGAGAAATGGTTTAGATTTAAGCCAATCGATAGCAAATGATAATTTTGAACAGTTCGGAATTGAGAAAGTGATTATATTGAAGGTGCATAATATTGAAAAAATTAGTAGCAATAGAAAGGTATAAGCAAATCTAAATGCATTTTTAATTTTTAATTTTCTGAATTAGTCTTTTTTCTAAAATCTGCATTAAAATTGTAAAATTTCTTCATTTAGTTTCATTTAATCTAAGAAAAATCTGTCTTATGATTTTTGATTAATCTGAAATTAAAATATTAATTATGAATGATTACTTTGGTGCAATGAGAACACTGCTTTTGATAAGTTCCATTTCAAAAATATCCGAATGAAAAGCATATAAACTGAGTAATTTAAACGGAATATTTTTCTCTTCGATTCGATTACTTAATGAATTTTCATAATCCCTGGAAATGCGATGATATTTATCTAATGGATAATTTTAAAACTATTTATGCTTTCTTTTCATGCTTCAAATTGACTATCTGATAATAATAAATAGAAAGGGAATCAGTGTTGAATTTCAGTTAATTATTTAAAATTACTCAGGCACTAACAAGCTCAGTTTCTGATTAAGTTCAGAGTTTTGCTGCAATTGATAAAGAACCATCCATGCTTTGGCTGTTTGAATTTGTTGTTTTGAATTCATCTGTACTCCTCCAAGTGTTTGCGATAGATCAGTTGCCTCGGTTGAAAATTGTGACTTGAATAATGGATAGGTCACATTAAAATGACCCTACAAAAGGATACAATTTTATTCACTTTGTTCATTAATTCATGTATTTACTTTCACTATCTAATCGTTTATTTTCTATATTATTTAATTCATTTTTTATTTCATTCTGAATATCGCTTCTCTATTTATTGATTGATTTATGTTTATTTGCATATTTATGAAATGCCACATTTCGGTGCATGCACCAACCTGGTCACCACGATGAAATATATCGGCGATAAAACGAGCATGCGCTTGTTCAAAGCAATCGTTATGGTAGTGCAAACATATATTACGGTATGTGTACTGTAGCCCATCAACAGTAGTGAATGTTTCATTAGTAACCCAATCGAGAAGCATCAAGAATTCACCAGTATGAGGCATTCGCAAGATGTTACCACCATCTTTGGCAAGGATAAGAAGATAAATGCTTTTTCTGCGGAATATATCTTTACCTAAAATACTATCTAATTTGAATTTAATTAAATGAGAAAATTTTTCTAAATCTTTTCATCAATTTTAAACAACTCATCTTTATCATAATGGTAGCTTAATAGCATAATGCAAATACGCAAATACCGGGATAAAACCGATGATCTTTGCTGGCCCAGCTATCCTGGAATACTTGATTTTCCAACTTCCATTGAGCTCGTAGCGGTGTGTATAAATAATGTACTCCTCTGACAATTTCAAATTTGAGAAAGATACCAGAGGAAAGTATGCAGGTTGTCAGTACTGAGATGATAATAAATGATACCGGATATCTGTAATCTTTTACTCGCAAACAATGAACTAAGACAACTTCTTTAAGTTATTTTTAACTAATTGAGTTAAGAGAAGATTGATAAATAAAAATGACTTGTACTCATCTTGATAACCGGAAATAAGAAATGAATTTAATGGAATGAGTCCTTAAGAGCAGTTGAACTGATTTTAATTTGGATTTCAAATTCATATCAAATTTCGCTTATCTTATTGCTGATTTTGAATTGATAACCGGAAGTACTGAACCTGGCAACAAAACGGCAGTATTTCTGTAATACATCCGTAAGCGGTTTTTCGAGTGGCGCCCATATACATCGTTTCTTCTGTGAAAAGGATCTCTGTCCTTTTTCGGTCATTTTTTTTTTTTGCATAAAATTGACGGTCAGGCAAATTTTACAATGCAAAATAGGAGGAAAAGCAGAAGAGTCGTTGATAGGAAGTAAAAAGTAGTAATCAATTTGTTTGCAATAGCTCACTTACATAATTACTAGTATTCTTGAATTGAACTATCTTAAAGTACCATTGGAGTGGGTCCATAACCAGTACTGCATGACCCAAATTCAGGTTTTATTCATCACTCGACAAGGCACCTTTTTGATTACTTTTGTTTACATAATTTTAGCCATAAGCATATTTATGCAAGCGAATTTGTTTATAATTTTATTGTTGAAACTATTCAATTTTTAATCGAATTTATTTTTTCCAATTATTGTTCAATGCATCTGATTGTTTACAAATGAAGAATGAAAACTTTGTTTACTAGAATTTTCCTATAATGACGTATTTACAATGAAATGCTAAGTATAGTTTAACATTCCATTGAAGTGAGATTATTGAACAAAACAAACATCCAAAATTACAGAGATTTTTGGGAACAACGGGGTCAAACAATGAACGATGCATGGTTAGCATATGACTGATCAGCAGAAATTTTCAGCTGATCGAAATTTTATTTGTGAAAAAAGCACTTAAAGCTTTTCTAGTATTCTTCTTATAGCCATTTAAATCTTTCAATAAAACATTCAGCAAACACTGGAGTATTTGTAAAAAATTTTTTCAGCCTATTTCTGAACCGGAATTTTTATCTGTTTCTCCTCTTATCTTATATTCTTTTTCCATTTTTAGATACAAAGTAGTATAAAAATCAAAGATAACAATTTTCTTTTTGCTCATGAACCTTTGACAATTGTTACACAAAGTATTTAATGCTAACAGATAGATAGTTTTAACGATTCATACATCTTTCCGTAACTTTGTTGATTTGTGCTTACTTCTGAAATCAAGTGAGAAATATGTGGAAATTTCTGACAGTTATTTTACTTATGCAAATTGCTTTTAGCTCTGTTTCAACAAGTGGTATGTCTTTGACTTATTTTTATGAACAAGCAGAAACTTCCATATCTTCAGATTCTTTCCTCATTTAGAGGTCGGAAATGAATAATTATTAATTAGCATACAATTTCTCAGGAATTTCACAGAGAATCAGTGAATTATTTTATTTGAAGAGTTGGTTCAAAATTTCTATCTTTTGCTAATTGAATCATTGTAAGCCAGAAATTAACAATAAATAGTGCTTAAGTAATTATTACTTACCTGTTTATTTCACTTCATGCAAAACAGTGCATTTTTAACATTTGTGAAACGCTTGTTGTTTCATACTTTCAAAAAAAAAAAGACCCTGTTGAACCTAGCAAAAAATTAGTTTAATTTTTGTTATGTAGACACTCCATGGCTCTATAAAATCTTATTTACATATAGCTGAATTAAGTAATGTAATCAGTGCTAAGTTTTTGAATGAACAGTAAACAACTCATATTGCATTGTTCTTTCTGCCTTTTTCAAAAATTACTTAAATAACTAACTAATCTTTTTTTTTTTTTTTTTTTTTATAAAAAAAATTATTTGAAAAAAAAAAAAACTTTTTGAAAATGTTAGATCTGACAACCTAAAATTGACTAAAATACTTTTCAGATTTTCAAATGAGAAAATTTTCATATATAAACCTGATAATTGTTAAAATTTTTGAAAATTAAAAAAAAAAATGATGCATTTTTGGATATTCCAGACATAATGTATGCTAAAGATCCGATCTTCACGATGCACTTATCACCACCAATTCAATGGACTTATCATGGTGAAGAAGAAGCGCATGATAATCCTATGACAGAATTAAAGGGCATTGAAGATATCACTAGAGATATAAAAATTGAAACATAATTCTGCTAATCATTTATTTTGTTAATTTCGCATCATTTTTCGGCAAAACTAGACAAATTTCAATTCTAAAATAATATTTGTTAATTTGTTCGTTTTATTTTAATATATTATTTTAATTCTAATATATATAACATAAATTGTGTAATTTAAAATTACCTTCGTTCGATTACTTATATACCAATCGCTTCTTTCCTTTTTTTTCTCATATATTATTTGTATTTTGTTCCTTATGTTACATTAATTTGACGAAATATGGAATCAAAGTAACTCATACAAAATTCATGCAATTTTTTTTTCACACGTTAGAACAGATCATGCTATTCTTCTAAAAAAGCTAGGTTTATGGAGTGAAAGGTAGAATTTGCTGTGCAAAGTTTTTCAATATAAAATTTCCGCATAACCTAAATTTTTCAGTTGAATACGAAATAATCAATGAGAATGCACAAGGAACAATGTACAGATAAGTGATAAAATGATAAAATTAGAACTTTTTATAACTTTTTGCAAAACATTTCATGCAATTAACTAAGGGAGTTAAAAGGAGTAAAGGTATACTGCGTTAAATGAGATACTAGGCCTGGCCTGGACGGCTTCAGTTGAAAGAGACTAGCCTAAGTCTAACTTAGTAGATTGGGCTTTATGACGATAGACTGGAAAAGATTCGTGCCAACACGTACCGAATTACATTTACATGTATAGCAATGAAACAATAAGCATATGACGGTTACTGCAGCAAAATCTCATTCTCGAGAGTCCAAGATTTGTGTCATTTCTACTGCTAGGAAATCTCGGATCCAATTGGTTAGATGTTATCGAATAAATAAATACATAGAAGTAATCTATTTCAAAAAGATGGGTGATGATAGGGAGGTAAGGGGAAAGGAAATGAAATGAAGTACTGTTCACGGCCGGTCTATATTTTCTCGTTGTCTGAGAATTCTAATCCGAATTAATGACCAGTTTTTCCCGTTATACAGGACTGTTTGTTCCAGTGCTTAAAAAAGAGCAGTCGTTCAATTCATTGCAGTTTTCTTAGCTTATCGTTGTTGATAAAGTAATTTTAGATGTCAAAAGTGATACGAAATTTATGGTTATTAATCGGTAATTCAACCAGAATTTTGTCGAGTTTTTGGGGTTTCCAACGATGTAACTTTGCTTGTAAGTACAAAATAATTCTTTCAAGAGTAACTTTTATAAAAAAATGCTATCATTATTTTTTTTTTGATTTTTCGTTTCGCCTATATCTGACTCTTCCGTTTGTATTGAAAGTTATTTACCCATTGGAATTATCCATTGCAGCTGCGGTACCCATGATCAAAACCGAAAGGGTCGGTGAAAAAATGAATGTTGGTTTAATTAAGCTTGATAGACCTAAAGCATTAAATGCATTATGCAATCAGCTTATGCAAGAGGTAAGTTCACGGATGAATTAGTTTGTTCGGAAGAAAAAGAAAAAAATTATTTAAGAAAAGTGTGCTTTGAATGTTTGGATTAACGGAACTTGTAAGAAAATGGTGTCGGAGGAGAGAGATGAAAAAGCATTTAAGAAATCTAAAAAATAAACGATGTGTATTATGCAATATTGAAATAGAAATTTCTGAATCTTGATCTTACACCTTTTATTTATTTTAAACAAAAGAAAGACTGGGGAGATAAATTCTCGTATTGCAGCTTTCAGATGCACTAGTTGAATTTGACAGTGATACTTCAATTGGAGCGGTGGTAATAACAGGTGATAAACGTGTATTCTCAAGTTAGATATACTTTTTTTCTTGTCTTCACTTTTTATTATTCGTGAATAGTTTTGAAGGAGATTACTGAGTTGATATATTTTATAGAGCATTCAAATCGTTTCGGATTTAAGTGAAAATTTTTCATGATTTAGTTAATTTCGCTCCTATAGAATCAGGCGTAGTGGTGGAACTGTACTGTCATTATTTATTGTATAGGTTCTTTTCACTTCTAATATATATAAAAGAAAAAAAAAAAAAAAAAAACGAAAAAGAAAATCTAATTCTGTTTTTTTTCTTTTTTTTTGCAAAACATCTAGTTGTCATTTATTGAACTTTTAAACTTTTTTAATGTAATGAACTAGTTGTCATTTATTGTTTGAATGTGATGTAGTATGCGCTCTGGAGATTTTATGTGTATCTACATTAGCATGTATGACAGATGTTAATTTTGTATGAGTCATTCATTCTTATATGAGATTGATAAGAGATTTGGAGCTTGAAAAGTGGAATATGTTGTGTAGCATTCTGCTTTTTTCTCTAGAAAGTCAAAGACAGGACAGAAAATGACAACTTGCAGTTGGTGAAATTCTTTTTTCTTTTTCTTTTCCCCATTTTAAAGATGCAACGCATGAAAAGATATATGTAAAAATATGTAGCCGTTTAAATATGCATTTATAAGCATTACAGTGGGAGCCGATATAAAAGAGTTATGTGCTATTCAATATGAAACGAAATCATCTGAAAATATATTGCAAAATTGGACTCAAATATCGAAGATGAAGAAACCAATTATTGCTGCTGTGAACGGCCATGCACTTGGTGGTGGTTGTGAATTAGCTCTGATGTGTGATATAATTTATGCTGGAGAGGAAGCTAAATTTGGTCAACCAGAGGTTATTATCGGGACTATACCAGGTAAAATTTTAGATAATAAAACCGTTGCAGTTTTACTATTCTGTCAATCAGGAGTCAGAAAAACTGGAGCAGATTTAGTGTCTGAATAACTGTCCTTAAGAGTATATGGTACTATATATATGAATGGATTCACATAATTTACAAAATCTTTGTAGCGGTTAATTCACATAACTTCTGAATTCATGAGCTTGTTCTCTACATGTAAGTAATATTACTTCAAACTTAGATATGATATAGAAAAATGTTTTCCAAATTCCGGATTCAGGTACGTTTAAAACTGAGGCAAGGTAATTTTTGATTCCTATAAAGTGTTTGCTAGTCATTTATAGAATGGAGAAGGTCGAATGCATCTTTCTAATAATTTAAGGAATTAGTTCAAAATTTGTTCGAAATCCTAGCATGTGCAATTTGCAGGTGCTGGTGGTACTCAACGATGGTTGCGTGTTACGGGTAAATCTATGGCAATGGAAGTGTGTTTAACAGGAATACCCATAACAGCACAGGAAGCAAAAGAATGTGGTTTAATTTCAAGAATATTTCCTATTGACCGTGTAACTTTTTTTTACACTTCATCTTGATTAGCTGCTTTGTTCAACCTCAAACTTTTTACTGATTTCTTAATTTCAGTGCATTCTACATGGATTAAATAAGAATGAATGCATACTTTTAGTTGTTATATATTTTATTTATTGTAATTCTACAATTACGAAAATTTTATCAAATTAAGTGTTTAGGTTGTATTGGAGGCTATCAAGACAGCCGAAAAAATTAGTGGACATTCACCGCTGATAGTATCATTTGTAAAAGATGCTATTAATAGTTCCTATGAAACTTTCCTTCAGGAAGGCCTTCACTATGAAAGTCGACTATTTCATACCACTTTTGCAACGGTATGTTTCTATTTGATTGTTGTTTTCACCTATATGATTTTCGTCAAACACTGAAAGGATAACTTATCGTACTTATAAACTAATGACTGGTAATGCGTTTTCAAATTGAATAGCACTTCTACGATATATAATCATTTTCGACATTAATTAACCTTTAACATTCAATGTTGTGAGATGATTTTCGATCTTAATCCAGATTTGATTTTAAAATCATATCGAATTTTGCAGATTTCAAATCACAAAAATTAATTTGTTCGAGATTCAAGTTATTCCAATCTTCATAATGTTCTGTTTTTCAGAATGATCAAAAAGAAGGTATGAAAGCATTTTTGGAAAATCGTAAACCAAAATGGACATGTTCATGATTTGCAGACGCAGACGTAAGGACATATTTATTGAATTCATTTATTGAATATTACATATATGTGAGTAGTCCAATCAAATGCTACAACTGTAGCAAGCTATTTTCGAGTCATAAATTTTTAATTTCTTTAAATGATAATAAATCTGCTCAACCTTTATTATGAACTAACTGTTACGTAATATAGCCGTTAACAAATATTACTGTTATATTTCCTTCTGCTTACTCTTGCATTGCGACAGTTTGCGAATTACGATTGACATTTTCACACATCCATGTTCCAGGTAATTTAAAGGTGCTTCAAAGTAATTCTGAATTATTTGAATATTGCAGGTAGGACAACATTTTCGTCAAGGTAGACAGCATTATGTGTGATCATGATGAAATTACTAATACTATAAATGTATACAATTGTTGGGATTATTTTAAGGAAGAATTCATACTTAGTTGCAATGATATTTTGCAAAAGATATAAAGTAGATGCATGAACTAAAAAGTGCGTTTCAAGTAGAAAGGGGAGTAGGAATCTTCTGATATGCGATTCACTGCTGTCCTGATGTTCTTGTGAGCCTTCCTAACAAAAGATATTTGAATGTGAAACAAATTCTCAAAATTCATTTCCAAACTGAAAGTAGATATTTCGCGACTCTTCCGCACCATTTCCTGCCTGTACAGAGACGTTTGATTGGAGACTTCATTTTAAACTGAAATGATATTTGAAAGAAGTTAAACAAGTTATAAAAAATGCGAGCCGTAAATATGGTAGAAAACCGTACAAAAAATGTAACGCGCCCAATAGGATCTCATTTTAATAAAAGCATCTTTTTGCAGTTTTAAGCTAGAAAATTCCCTTTTTGGAAATGTGAACTTTTCGTGGTTTTTATTTACTTTCCCATTCATTTTGTTAACCACACAATGGATATAACAATTTAAAAGGTAAAATTATTGTAAAAATATTTGAGGTCGATTGAGATTTGTAGAAAGACATCAATTCAATTCTAATAACAGTTGGCAGGCGTCAGTCTTGCAAAAGGCAGCACATAATGAGAATTAGCATAATGTGGAATCCACGAATGAGAAAAGTGAATAGATCATTCAGCTCTAAAATCACTAATTACAAGTGCTCTTTGTATTCACTCATTCTTTGTTATATGTTACAAAATAGATGCAAGCAAAAAGCAATTTTGTAAATACTGTTTCATTTATTGAACACTTGCTCAACATCAATCGTTTTGTAATGTTAATTTTTATACAAACAATGATCAGAATTGGCAAAAGAATAGGTGACAGCAGTTCTTTTTTCGGTTGAATTTCTGAACTACACGAAAATTGACACAAATCGATTTATATCTAAGAAAGGAAAAGGAAGAGACGTGAGTTCTATCATTTTCCATTTTTGTTTTCGAATGCTAGAGATGTTTTCCAATTTGAATATGTTGCAATTCTTTAGCATCTAATTATCAAAATTGTAATCCTAGATAAATCCAGAAGAATAGACTCTCTCCTCCCAAGAAAAAAAGAAAACGATGACTAGACTTAACGATGCACTGAAAAAATCAATAGCAGCCGAAAAATTCCCAAATTTATTTTTCCAAAGCTGAATTTTTGCATGTAGGAAAGTGATAGTGCCTTTACCAATAATTTTCTGCTAACCAAAATATTTTTCACTGAACATATTTCATTTTAACATTCTTCATATTTTATATAAGTTTGAGCTGCCGACATGTCATTATAAATTCGGGTCGATGATTCACTTGCAAATACCCATAAAGACCTGCAAAACCATCATTCTTAATAAAAATAATCAGTAGACATATTAACACGAATACTCCGACTTTCAGTGCATTGCATATATTGAAAAAAGCTCAAAGAAGGAGAGATAAAGAAGGTAGTTAAGAGATAAAGAAAGTGTACAGTAGTTCTATTAGTAAAATGGATAATAACTCAAGTTGTGAATTAGAAATATTGTAACTGTACTAAAAAGGAACTTAAACTTTACCTTTAAAAACTTCCAAATGGTCCGGTATAGTTTCCATCGCATATGTCGAAATTAATGTTTGAAAATTATTATCCGCCGCATAATTTGTTAGTGCCATTTTTAGAGTAATGCGTTTCGATTTCTCAATAGATTGAAGCTGAGAATGAATGAAAATAGCTGAGAATAAATAAACAAACTTCACTTTAGTTAAGTTCAAACACAAGTTTATAAGACATGTGATAATGTGAAACTTGAACTCCATTTTATGTATTTTATAACATATACTATCTTTATTTCTGAATACTCACCAACTTGTTGTAGTCTAGTGCAGATCTTCGCCAACTGGCTATTACCTCGTCATCAGATTGCAACAGCGGTAAAGATTTGTACTATAATTTGTATGAAAAGTTGTAATAAATATGTGTATTCAAATTGAAGTAAAATAGAAACTCACATCTTTTATTTTTCCCTCAGATGTACCCACCTCGAACAACAATGAAGCATTCGGCTAAAATGTTATCCACGTTATTGGTGATGAGAATTAGACTAATTAAAATTATCAAAAGTATAAAACCTGACAGTGATAGGTATCTAATAATCTAAAGAACTGCACCCACCAATAGATACCTTTATGCGAAGCTTAGGTTTTGTTTTTGGGATTATCAAGTTACTGCCTGACTGAATAGGGTTATTGTCGACATCAATTGAATGAGTGGTACCAACTAATTCATTTACCTTCTTCGCCTCCTCTTCCTAAAAACGCATCTTGCTCTTGATATGGAAGAGAAAAAAGATTTGATAAGATATATGCAAATTAAAAATGAATAAAAAGCATAATAGTATCAACAACCTAATTAGTGGATGAAACAAGCACTTGTAGATTATCTTAATGAATGTATTGTCATCATTATACAGAAGACCGAAATTGTTTATGGAATATAATCTCACCAGTAAAGAAAACATTACAAAATTACGAATTGAAAAAGATTTCACAAAAAAAAAAAAAAAAAAAACTTTAAGAATGAACAAATTATGAAATGAAGGAAGTAAAACATACTAATTCCTCAAAAATACAACTTTTTTTTGGACGTTTTGGTATAGTATCTTCGATACCAATGCTTTTTTCAAACGCTGCTACTGCTTCAGAAGAGTACAGTGCATTTATATCGAAATGCAAGCCATCATTATTTGGCTTGATTTCAGGTTGCTTCCGGCAACAAACAAATCCGGGTGCCACTTCCGTAGCTGATGATATGGGTCTTTTATTAATACGTATCTATAAAACTGTCTATCGGTTAACATGATAGATCACATATCAACTGAATTTAATATAGTCACTTTTTTTAAGCTTGCAGAAGGAAAGTTCTTATGGATAAAACGCATCAAGAAAATATTATATCCACTCGAATGCGAGAAGGAAACAGTGAGAGGTGTCGGGATATTTGTCATAGGAATGTATACCATTGAAATTTCATCAGATTACTCACAAAATTAATAAATCTTTACAACTACTTTCGTTTCGGTGCTCAATCGATCTCAATCGAAATTAGAGAAAAATGAAAGTAAATCAAAAACTCACCATTTTGACTACATATTTTAATTTGAAAATCATACAAAACAAAAACAATCAACAAAATATATACCTCAATATTTCTCTTTTTGAAGAACTGCTTACACTCGTCTTCAAAATCGCTGATATCTTGGTAATTTTTTAAACATCCACGCATCCATGAAGGAAACCATTTTGATGACATCGAGCAAAACCTTTAAAAAATTAAGCACTTCATAACGGATATTTTGATTGGAAGCAATTAATTTTCCTTAATATATCAAACTGTAAGTATTGAAGCTATTATTGCTTTAAAAATATTGACATCCTCGAACGACAATTTAATTTGTCAGATATATCCGGACTCCGAACTTTATTTTAATTTCATTAATACCATAATTATGTGAGACAGTGCATCAATTAATTAAATAACGTGTTAGCAAGATTTGAAGTTAAACTAATCTAGACCTTGAATCAGCAAGAATGACAACACCAAAATCATTTTTATGTCGAAGAACACGGCCAATTGATTGATTCACACTACGAATTGCTTCCACTTGATACCATTCGTCAGCTGATATATTCTGAAAATTACAAATTTCTGTACAGTTTAGCAAAATAACGGATGAGTTATTTGAAACTAATAAAAGGCAAATTTCCTCAGCCAATCAGTACGTCAATTTAGTATTAAAATTCAAAAGGAAGGAATAAAAAGAAGGAAATACAACGGAATAAAATGAAATAAGCTAAGTGATATAATCGCAATGTCAGCAAAATGTGATCGCATTAAATGTATGACGCATACAATTAAATGCAATAAAATGCACTGCATGTAATAATTTTTAGTCTATTTCAAACGGATTTTTTTTTTTTTTTCTATTGTAATTAACTTAAACGATACAGTTACGTGCAATAATTTTTAGCAGTGCAATTTATTTGTCATTTGTACAGAATAATTAAGCTTGCAATTACTTTTCTTAGCTCTTGCTTCACGACAACCATCCTTTGTTTCGTAAGAAATTGTCTCTTAAGTTCAATTCTAGGATCCATTGTTGGAGCGTATGGAATACCGATTACGATAACACCACGGCTTTCACTGTCTAAGAAATCGATCCCTTCGCTTACCTTAAAATATATCATAATTCAAAAAGAATTTAATGTGTGAGATGTTGAGATGAAAATAATAAGCACATAAAAGATGTCAACACTCGTAAACCAATTAATCCAATAAATTTTAAAGTCTAAGATATTCCTATAAAAAAAAAAAAAAATGTTACGTCGCTTACCCACTAAATATGTCATGGAGAAATATCTGAAATATACTCGATAGAAAGATGATTTTATCTAAACAAATTGCAATTCTTATTGCGATAGCCAAATTACAATGCAGTTGAACACAGCAATTATATTGGAGAAATTACCTTAGCTCTACAAACAGCAAATAAGATAGCACCATTACCGCCTTCTCTCACTTTTTGCCTAAATTGCAATAGTACTGTTTTCAGCTCCAACTTAGATTTTGGTTCAACGAATGCTTCTTTATAAGCTGATATTGTTTCCCATATGAACATTGGGCCAAATTTTAATGTCTATAATCAACATTAAAAAATAATTTCGCTAAAAGAATTTTAAATCAATTTCAAAATTTAAAAACTAAGAACTAATTGTTCAAAGTGTATACACTAGGAAACACTACTGAGTAATAGAAAATTCCAATGTTTTTAAAATCTCATTAATGCTTTCATTAACTTTTAAAATCTCACTAACATAAGCAGTAATTAATTTCTGCAATTATTTAAGATTATTGGACCTTTTGTTTCTTGTAGACCATATTTTCTTTTTAGTTAGACCTTATTCACAATACTTATCTAAAATTCAATATATGTATGAAAGTTTGATCATTACAGTTCTTTCCTTAGAACGAAAATTGAAAAAAAAAATTAACAATCTTAAACAACTATTCCAGCTTACTCAAGCTATGAACATTTCACGTCTACTATTAAAAAAAAAAAATACGGCAATAATAGACATGCAAACCTTCCAGAATTTCAGGCATGTATTCATAGTAACATAGGACGAGAAAAACACCAAGATACCATCCGGAATGATTTGACAAGCACGAACAATAACTTCACCAATTCCAAATACGTACGCTGAACTGCTCCTGATCATAAATCAACAAGATGACGTTTGAAATAAGAACAGTATTAGCAAATCAAATTTGAAATGAAGACAACTTTTAACAATAACAAGTGGGATTTTAATTGTATTCGGAAGTTTAGCAAAAAGATCGTATGGAAAGTAGATCAAGATTTGGAATCAAAATTTAAAATAAAAAAATAAAAATTAGTTTATTTTATATTTCCCATTACAATAGCAACAATATGAGGATGAAACCAGCAACAATAATTAGCATTTCGATTTGAAACAGTGAGAAATTGTCAAACGATAAATCTCCTAGACAGAAACAAAGCATAACTTGAGAAACCACTTTATTTCATCTCATCAAAAATCACATTTATAGATATTAATTTCAGCATCATTTTAAATCTTCTAAAATCCATTGTGAAATTTTCTATTTTAAAAGTTCATTACGAAAATAAAATTTTTGAAGTAACTTTAGTGTCGAAATTGATTTCATATTTGACAAGATTATATTACAGTTAAATAGTGATTTTAAATTTTAACTTTAGAAGTGCACTGAAAATTACACACCGTTTGTGAAAAGTACCACAGAGATCGATTCCACTTTGACTAGAACGAATACGTGCACACAAAATTTGATCCACGTTAGCAGCATGCTGATTTTCTAGCGCTATCGGGAAACTTATACCGAGATTATTAATAAATGAATCTAACGGTGATAAAGTACCACTGGTTACAATCACAGAACGTACACCGCATGAGTGAAGATACCTCAAAATGTACGCATTGGTAATTTGATTATCATATGAGAAAAGAATTAATGCTAATTCAATTTGCTAGGCAGAAATCCATTTCTCACTTCAACTCATTATGTGCCTCCAAAAAGAATAATTCCATCATTTGGAAAAAAATCATGAATTGTTTCTATCATCCAATTATACTTTAACAAATGACTTTCATTTAACAAAGCATTTTTTTAAGAAAAGAAAAATATTTTTCCTACTTTTCCCTTACAACAATAAGAATTTTTATAAGTGAACTAAAGTTAAACCATTAAATGCAAAATTACTTAGTTTGATTGGAAGATTTAAATTCTATCTCAAAATTTTCAAAGTCTCAATATGTTAATATATAATCATCTTTGTGCAGGAGAAAATTGGTGTTGACAGAAGTTACTTCATTATATCAATTCATACGAGCAATTTTAAAACAATTTCCAATATTATTAAATTAAAGATTAACACCTTGCATTACATGTGGCAATATAAGAACATAGCCAAGTGCTGAATCACTAAGCTGAATGAATCGCATAATTTCGATAGTTAAACAAGTTTATATAAAGGAAAGAGTTGGATATAGATAATGAAAAAGTAACTAACCACATTGCAACTGATGGTGAAAAGCACCAGTAATTCAGCGTTATTACTGAACTATGCTTTGTTATGTAAAGCTAAAACAAATCATAATTAGAAATTGGAAACTTTAAAAACTTCATAATTTTAAAGCAAATGAAAAAAGTGTTAACAACATATGCGCTATTGTAGCAATCAATATAAAACTAAAATTGTGCAAATACTATTAACAATAAGATAAAATTAACCTATAGAAATATTAAGATATAACTTAAATTAGTGCAAACATATAGTAAATAGCATTAAATATATTATCCTATTTTAGACCAAAATAATAAAAATCAAGTAATCTAACTCATATTATTCTAACCCACATTACTGCATCGTTTTCTGATAACATAAATCAGAAATGTTATAGATTAAGATAGAAACGGATGATTATCTGCGTAAATAAGGGAAATGAATGATGAAAAAAAGAAGTTGAAATTGTATGATTTACTATAATGGAACAATTTTCCTCTATATTTCTTTGCCATTATTTCAATGCTTTAATTAATAATACTTCCTGTTGTAGTATAACAAGCGTCCATACGAGCTATTTATTTGTGCTACTAATTAAAGAAAATTAAAGAATCACTAACAAACATAACCACTGTAAAGCGTACTTGAAAATATTTCACGATGCTGTCATCCGTAATCTTTTTGTGCAATTTTCTCACTACACATGCAGGACTATCCAATACTTGTGATGAAGCATGTTTATATGCGTAAATAGTTGAAATAAATGATGAAAATTCTTGAAGATAAACTCCTTTTTCCACAAATTCTCCAATCGTTTCATTTTGTGCTGGAAATTTTGTTTACCTAACAATAATAATTTCCAGTGCAAAATAAGGCAAGATGAGTAATGAAAATATTTTTTGTTGCCCAATTCTTCACCGTCACACAAGTCAGGGCAAAAAAAAAAAGAAAAAAAAAAAATTAAAATTAAAAATTTGTATAAAATGCTATAAACTGACATATGATAAAAATGAAAACAACACGAAGATAACAAACCTTTTGCTGTGAGGTATTGCCCAATTTTATCAATAGTCTGTGATACAGCTTCCCTCATATCCTTTCGAAATCCTGCTTTTGACAGTAATTCAATCATATGTTCACCAGGATAAACTTTACCATCAATACCAGTCACTTTCTTGCCTCCACTTTTCGCACAAACGTCTACAGCATCTTCAAACTGATGCAAGGATGCTGAAATACCGATTTAAAGAGATTCAATTTAACTAAAATTAGATTCAGTTTAATCAAAACTAAATCCAAGTGTTAGTTAAATATTCCTTAACGTAAGTAGAATGAATACCAATAAAACCAGATTTCAAAATAACACTCATATTAATTTCAAAACTATAATAAGGAATCAATTGGGTGTTTCAAAGATATGAATATATGGACCAAATTATATTTACCAAGCAAGTAAGCTACGTCATTCTTCTCAATTTTCACTTCATTTGTTTCCTGAATTTCGGTACCAATTGGTACAACTGTATTATCCTGTAAAAAAGGCAGAAATGAATGTCATATTCTCACACTAACAATTTTTGGTCCACAAAAATCAATTAACGAGTGTTCAAACTAAAAAAGAAAAGCCAGAAAAGAATTAGTCGAGTGAATCAGGAAAATAATGTAAATATAAAAGACAACAGTGAGAACAAGAAAAAGGAGAGACAAACTTCACAGAATAATTGCTCATAAATTAAAAGATTAGTAAATTATCACTTTTAAGAACAAAATTTTCCATTCAAAATCTTGGTGAAATACACTGAAAGATAAGAGTGATAGGATAAAATATGAATCCTATAAAAGAAAAAACACTGAGTAGAAAAATTATGCAGAAAATTAATCAGTGAGAAATATATATATAAAGCAAAGTATCAAGTAAAGAAAATACACACCATTTGAGTTCGAACTTCCTCTTCATCATTTATCATTAATTCCAAAACTTTCTTTGTTTCTCTTATGCATGCACTTATTTGGGTAGTTGAAAATGATACTGATGTTGACTCTTCGCAAACTGATTCCTGAACAAAAATTCCTATACAATTTCAATTCTCAATTTCTCCGAAAACTTACAAAGTTTCCCCAACTATTTCAGGGAAAATTACATCAAGTGGCAATTCCCTAATGTTATCAAATTATCGGTGGATACAAAAACATCTTTTAATTAAAAAAAGTTACCAAATTATGTGCCTCATCGAAAATGACAATATTTCCTTTGAGCTGAATGTTATGCTTATATCGCAAGGAAGGATCGACGATATAATTATATGGTAAAAGAATGAGATCGGCATTTTCATACATTGAACGGCTCCGAAAATAAGGACAATACCTGAAGTTTGAGCTTATTTTTTAAAATGTAATAAGTTTTAATGAAATGGATCAAACGAGTTTTGATATTAAGATGCTCCGGTATCTTAACTTGAAATGAAATTTCAAACAAAAAAATCTGATATACTTATGCTTCCGAGACACACTGATGACTTCTTCAATATCTGGAACCAATCCATTTTTGCTATATAACAGATCTAACGTTGATGGATCAGCTTCTAAAATACGTTTTTTTTTTTTCTTTTTTTTTTTTTGAGGGAATAAACCAAAAATACTACCTGAACAAAGCTTGGAACAAATAAAATTATGGAAATTAAATCCCCAAAAATGATGAGTAAAAATAAAATAAACACCTGGAATACTGAGACACAAAATTTCGACTAAAAATGTGAGAAAGGCAAAAATTTTGAAATCTCATTAAACTTTTTTTTTTTTAGTGTTTGATAAAGTAAACAAGTGAAAAAAGCAAATAAAAAACGAAAAAAGAAATAGAAAATAAAAACATACTTTCATAGAAATTATAAAATGGACATCGATGCTTTCTGATCAAATTCCTACACATCAGTGATTTGACATGACTATTATTTTCTTTCATCACTTTATCATTGATACAGAGTAAATCACGTGAAGCCAATGTTACAGTCTTAATGCTGAAAATATCAAAGAAAGCTTAAAAGTTGTTTCTGTGCTGAAAAAGGAATGAAACATTATCCAGCATACCGAAAAGAAAGGAAGATTAAACAATAACTAATGAGGACAGCGCAATAAGAACTACTCTTAAATACTGACAAAAATAACAAAGTAACACAAAAAAAAGACATATTTAACTACAGATGTCGAACATTTTGAAAATATTTTAAATCAACATTACATAGAAAACAGAAAACTTTAAATAATCGGAAACGTGCACTGTAACACATCCAAACGAAAGATTAAAAGCATTTCAAATTCAGCTATTTGCAATAAATCAAAGACAAAAGTTGAAATTTTTGAAAAATAATTCAACATAAGAAACTTACTCTTTGTAAGTTGTTTTATTTAATTCACGGATTACTTGTACCAGTTGACTATGTGTTCGAGAAGCATAAAGGATTTTTGGATAAAGTGATCTAGAAGATGTACCTGTCAATAAAATCATTTTTCATACAGCTTTCAATATTATGCATTCTAATATTCTTGTTTCTCATTTTTTCTAGCACGACAAAAAATTTCTAACATTAGCAAAATCTCATTCAACATTGCATCTAATTAAAAACTGGAATATAAGCCAATTGGAAATGTGTGAGAAGATAACAAAAGTTCTCCTGCACATAAGAGAGATAGCTTCATATTCTATTATATTTAAGAAACAAATGTTAATTGTTTCAGTAAATAAGTCAAGCTGGAACAACAACCTTGTATTTCTTGTGCACTGTCCTGCAATATTTCTAATTTGCAATGTTTCAAGTATGCAATGGCAGTGCACAATAAACATAGTGTTTTGCCGGTTCCAGTTGGCGATTCTAATGCTGCATTTTGTCCCTTAAAAGTGGTAAATCCCAGAAAAAAATTTTCGGTAGAAGTCTGGACTCGATTACTATCAAGTTAACAAGAAACACTCAAAGTTTAGGATATTAGAAACAATAAAACTTCCAAAAGTTAATCAATCGAGTAGCTATAGTTCAAGAAATTGTGAATGAATTTGCCTGATAGATTTACAATAATAATAATCCTTTACCATAATAATAGCAGTCAAATATTGATAAAATTTTGCTTAAAAAAAAGCTGTGTCAAGCAAAATTCTTGGCAAATGTGGCTCTATAGTCCTTAACATTTCAAATTACACATTTTCGTGTAATCTATAACACATCCATAATTATATATTGGAAAGATAACAGTTCCTTATAGTTTGGAGTAACGTTTCTTAATAATTCATCCTCACAATCAGTAATAGTTTACAACTTTGGAAGAATGTTAGTAATTAAAATTTATTATGAAGGTCTTATTGGTACATTTTTTGTTACATTTGCATTATTTATCTAATAAATATTTCATCGTCTATCATATAAAGGAATAATATTCAATGATCATTCAAATATCATAAAATACGCATAATTAAATAACAAGTTGCAAGTTATTATTATTATTATATAACTGATAATTTTTTCTCGTATTCAACAGTACATTATGTCCAGTAGCTTAACAATTACCATATTAATATGTATAATCAATTGTGTACAATAATATAAAGTTATTAATAATTAGGACACATATAGCAAGCATACCATCTGCAAAGCTTCCATAATTTTTTCCATAAATTTAATTTGACACTGATATGGTTCGAATGGAAATTCCACAGTAAACCTATCAATTCGTACTATATGCATAATTGGGACAGAATTCGAATTCAAAATATTTCCTGAAATATTTCATAAACATTTGATTATGCTCAAATTAATCAATTACATAGCTTATAAATTTATAACAGATGTTAATTTTCCAACCTTCTTATCAACTGATGTTAACCAGCTAATTCCAAAATTGTTGCAAAACTAATATACTTTCATTCAATATCATTTTCCTAGTTACATTAATGATCATTCACACATTGTTCTTACATCACTATCACCTGACGCGAAATTTTATTGACTGCCAGATATTTTCTCCATAAATGTGAATCGATACAATATGCGGCTGAATAATTGAAACAACAAAGGAATAAAGAGCACTGTTGAATAGGAGGGAGAGAAGACTGCCACCGATCCTTTCGTTTTTCTTAACTGATCAAAGAAGATTTTTAAAGATGTAGGGAGTAGGCTGGCGTAACGGATTAATATTCATGTGAAGATAGATATACATTTACAATTTGAGGTTTAGATAAAGGATTCATTGTTTCAAAAATGGTAATAACTGTGTAATAAATATTTTTTTCGGTTGTATAACGATAAAGCAAAGGAAAATAAGAGAAACGATTAAACTGGTCATTAGATTGTCAGAGAATTCACCACAGTGTATCCTCTATCTTATTGATTCCTGTCATATCACTAGTTATCATATTCACTGTCTTTAATCTCAGAGCAAAATAATCTTTAGTTCTTCTGATTCTGTCTTTGATCTCTCAGATTATAGCATTCTATAAATTGTGCTCTCAATCTCTAATTGTATCTCATGTTCTTTTTACCCAATGCAAATGATGCTGTCCTCAAAAAAAAAAAAAAAAGATTAAAAGAAAATTAAAAAACACTTTCTGGTAGTGAGATGAATCAAGTGAGTTCTACACAACCCAAAATCATGCCCGAGTACACCCCCGCATCCCACCTTGTCACATTGAATGACAAATTTTCCCTCCACTCATTTCATAATTTTGAATTTAAAAGTGAAATTTCTGCAGCCAATGAAAAATTTTCATCCCACAAGTGCCGAAATTTTTTTTTGCAATTAAAGAAACTATTTCGATCGATGCGTAAATAATTTATTCAACAATTTAGATAGAAGCTGAACATTCAATCGAAATGATTAAGCTTAATTAAAATACAGTGTGGAACACCTATCATTCGAGAAGGCATCATTCCATTGCAAAATAACGGTGATTTAATACATTCAGTAACATTATTGAAATACTAAAGTATTGTTAAAATACAAAGATACCTCCAAGTTATCATAAATTTCTATTAAAGTGTTGAATTAGTCTTTAGAAAAAAGAAAAAAAAAAAAACATTCAATTAATCAATCAAATCAATTTACTTAGCAATCAAACAGTCATATTAAACGGGTCAATAAAGGATTCATCAAATTTGACATATCAATTTTGCATTAAAAATTTTCCAATCATTTCTTTATCAATTTAAAAAAAAAAGAACAAAAAAAAAAAAAAAAAAAAAAAAAAAAACATTCCTATCATTTATTGCTATTAACATGCAACCTTTTCTTCTCTTTTTTTTCATAAAGAAAGAACATACACATACAGCAAAAAAGAAAAACAGAAAGTTGCCAAAAACTCTAATTAATTAACCAGTAAATTAAACTTCAAATTTCAACAGTTTACTATTTATTAAGCTGCAACATACATTTTGTAAATTAAAACTTTTGTAAATTTTTTCAAATATTTTGCAAACACTGCGCCAGCATTGTGCCAAAAGCTATGTGGTAGGAAGAATTCAATATTGTGTAACTTGATCGTTAATGTCTGAAAAAAAATATATATGAAACAATAAATTTGTTAACTTTATCACTACAATATACACACGCACACGCTTGATAGCAATACCATTAAAAAATTGCTATTATATCATTAGAAATGCTCATGCTTTATCAACCACTTCATTCATCATACATTAATCTTCGAAATAGGCATATTTATAATAGACATCAGATTTTATTTGTAATTAATTTTTTTTTAAATTAATGTTTCATTATTTTCTTTTAAAGTATAAGATATGTATGTAAGGGTGAATTATTATTATTATTATTATTAATAGCATAAATTATTGTAAATCATATGGACTGCAAAGATTAACTAAGTTATCGTTATTGTGTTTCTAGGAATTTTTTTTTCTTGTAAATTAATTATAATAATATATTTAAATTTTAAAGCAAGAGTATTTAATAAAAAAAAAAAATATTCCTGTTTTGCAAATTTCTCACTCAATCAAAACATAGAATTTAATTTTAAAATAAAATTAAATAATGAAAATTAGCAACCTTTTCATATTTGCTACCATTGACAAATGCGATAACGATATCATCCTTTAGAACATGTGAGCCCACATTACGGCGCCATACTTGGCCACCAGATATATCTGTCCCAATGATCACATCATCTGGCACATAACCTTGTGTAGTATAATTTATCGTTGGATTTAATCCAACATTGAATAACATTTCAGTTAACTGCAAAAAAAGAAAAAGAAAAATGCTAAACAAATTCAAATTTTAAACAAAAAATAATGTTTTTTAGATACTCTAATTTAATTGAAGAGAAATTGAGCAATTCAAAAATTTACCCAATCATTTCCAACTTATTAAATTTTGAAATTCAAAAAAAAAAAAAAAAAAATGCTGTAATCAATTTTTGGAAAAAATGCTAGACGAATGTTCTTCTAGCTATCAGCTTATTACTTTCTATACCGGATTCTGATTATGATTATTAATTTTTTTTGATGAAAATCCTGATTATTAATTTTACTAAAAATATTTACATATTTTTAGTAAAATTAATGAAAATATGGAACACAAGCCAACTTTTTTTAAGAAAAAAAAAAAGTATTCATCTTTTATATAACATTCAGTTTGTTCTGAAAGAAAATTTGTTCGCTGGGAAATTGAACAATATCCAATTTTGTTCTTACATATCAAAGAACGAAAATTTTGAAAAAGAAAATGAAATAATGATTTTATACAAGAAAATTTTATATAAGAAAAATATTTTTCGGATTGTTCAATAATTTTAATTTAAATTGAATTTCAATATCACAAACCGCTTGATGTATTGACTTTTTCAAATTATCCAGCGCTTCTCTCGATGTTTGCGCTTGTCCAGGATATCGAATAGGCAGAGCTTTAGTTGGAACTGTGCTAGACCACTCAGTAGTAGTAGGTTCTTCAGTTGTCGTAGTTGTTGCTTCTGTTGTTGTTGTTGTTGCTTCTGTTGTTGTTGTTGTTGCTTCTGTTGTTGTTGTTGTTGCTTCTGTTGTTGTTGTTGCTTCTGTTGTTGTTGCTGCTTCTGTTGTTGTTGTTGTTGTTGCTTCTGTTGTTGTTGTTGTTGCTTCTGTTGTTGTTGTTGCTTTTGTTGTTGTTGTTGGTGGCGGTAGCGGTGGTGGTGGTGGTGGCGCTAGTGGTGCTTTTGTAGTTTTTGATTTTATTCTATGACGAATTTTCAACATTTCAGCGATATCATCAAATGGAGTTTTTCCAGGTGGAATATGACTATGATTTTGTTGACAAATCCAAGGATAAATACGACAAGCAAAGGTAGGTTCATGTGGTGGTGCATCATGAATTAATTGTATCTGATCTTTTTCATAGAAACCTGATAAAAAGTGATTGTCAAATTTGTCAACAAAACATCTTACAATTACATGTTTTATTAATTGAACTTTATAATTCCATGTTTCGTTTCCAAGTCATTTTCCTCGTAATTTCAGATCATCACTAAGTGACACTGTTGAAATGAAGTGATAATATAATTTAATATTGAAAAATATTCTAAGGTAAAGTATCATACCTTGCATTGGTCCGCAGCCATATGCTATTAGAAAAATGGAGCAACTGATTGCAAGACGAAGAATCATCACCAAGTTTTGATCCACAAATAATTATCAACTGTAGTATAACAAGGAAAAATTTCATTTGTCAATTGTAACAATAATGCTTTAACTATTGTTATTACAATTAATCATTAAAAAAGCAAATACAAATCATAGAAAATAAATTTAAGACTAAAATTAAGAAATTCTATCTAAAATTAGATAGAGTTAATCTTTGGAAATACTATGATATAATTTCAATTAATGTAATAATATAATAAACATTATTAAATATATTATACCATTTTAAAATAAAATGATAAAACTTAAATAATAATTTAACTCATATCATTAAATTATCATCTTATGATAACAATAATTATTGATTAAAATTGAAATGATAGACATTATGTATGATTTGCTAGAATGGTACAATCTTCTTATATAATTTTTTTTTTATCATTATTTTAATGCTTTCATTGATAATACTCCTTGCCATTGTAACAAAGAGCAAAGATATGAAATTTCTCATCGGTTATTTGCACTAATTTCATTTATTCAACCCTCAAAGAATAATTTTCTTTCTATTTTTTAGTCAAACAATAGTTTTATTGAATATTTAAAATTATTATGCTATCACATTTCATTGTTCTTCAAAAGATATCATAAAAATGTTCTAAGATCAATCTCCAAATTATATGTTACCATTGTAAAATTCATCATTTTCCTTTTCATTTTTCTTTTGCCATTTAAATAATTGTATTATTTTTGAATAAATTTAACAGATAAGAAGTAAAATGTAAAATGAACCATAAATAATGAGAAAATGTTTATAATTATATGGACAATAATGTTTGATTAAATTATCATCCTAAATTGAAATTTGTCAACATTTATGCCACAATATTTCCTAATTAAACATTCATACATTACTAACTGATACTTATAAATAGTTTTTTTTATTCTGATATATATTGATTTTAAATTATTCAGATTTTATTTTTGAATAAAAAAAAAATTGCAAAGGATAAAAATAGATTAATGATTATTATGTGACAAAAGAAAATATTCGAAATAGCATGAAATTAACAATCATAATTGTTCACCACAATGACATTTAATTTACTTTAATTAAATTTATGGATAAAGAAGACTGAATAAACAAACACTTAATGAGTATTACTTAGAAACGAAATTACTTAGAGAAATTAGGTGAAAATTTTGAAGGTTATTCTTTGGGAAGCAAAAAAAAAATTAAAAGCATACTCAGTCGAAGCATAAAATAAAGAAAACAGTGTTTAATAAATAAGCAAATAGCAGAATAGCGGGGAATAATTAATTAGTAGAAAATGTTTAATTCAATTAAAGAATTCTCTCTGAAATTGAAAGTTCTAAATGGCTTCCAGACTAATGCTAAATATATTTGCGAATATTATAACTTACTTAATTTAAAGGAAATAGTTTATAAGTCATTTCATTGAGTTTTTTCATTATTTTTCAAAAACTTTAGTAAATTTAAATTCAGTGAAGTTTACTAGAAATCTTTTTTTAAAAACATAATATATGATTAAATTATAAAAATTGTATGCCAGTTAAAAATAAAACTTTTTTAAATTAGTAGAATTAGCTGGAACAATACTTTATGTTTTTTGATTTGTTCTAAGATATGAAAATTACTTTTTAAATGTTTATAATCTTAGCAAAATTATTATACGCATTTTCTTTTTTCTTTTTTAAAACAAAAAACAGAAAAGTTAAAATTATAATTTAGTTTAAGTATTTGATTCAATTCAAAATATTTAAAATATTTCCTTGTCAGCGATGACAAATTTTTATTATTCAAATTGCTGCAGAAAATTTATTATTTATTTAAGCAACTTTTTTTCTTCTTTTTTTGTATTCACAAATTTTATAGCTTTCGTATAAATAAAGAGAAGTAAAAGATGGTAATCTATATAATATGTGTGTATAGGTGTAATAATGATAGTGAAAAAATTTAAGATAGCGTATATATAAAATGTTTTCCAATTTTTTCTCATCTTTCTAACGTTTGAAAAAAAAATTTTTTTTGTTTAGTTTATTTCGTCTCAAATATTTCCTTTGTTTTCATATATTTTAAATTAAATTTATCATTACTAACTATAGAAAATTATTATTATATAATAATAAAAATAATTATGCATTTTTTGTTGGATACATTGAATAGCAAAAATTGTTTTGCAATAATTAAACATAAAAAAAGATAACTATGAAAAAATTGCAAGAAAATTAAGCAAAAATTTTGTTAATTTAGTTTTATATAATTTTCTATTTTTCGTATTATTTCTTATTCCGCTTATTATTTATAGGTATTATTTAGTTTATTTTATTACTTTATTCACCATGGAATATTGTAGTTAGGCTAAAAAATTATGCATTTCCTTCATATCATTCTATTTTCTTCATTAATCACATGGATACATGGATGTGGGCCACTCCCAATGGATATCAATAATGGCGGTAATAAAATCATTATTTTAGATTTTAATTACAATTAAAATTATCAGCTAACAATAATCTTAATCAATAGCACTAATACTATAATTCGTATGCTTTTCTCTCTTTTTTTTTTAATTTTTTTTTTTTTTTTGATTTTTCGTATTTTCTCTCTTTTTTTTTTTAGTTTTTACAATTCTTAAAAATTTTTCGAATATGTTGGAAATATTTTGTAAATCTAATTTAGATGAATGAAATACATATATTTTTATATCATTTTCGATAATTTAGTTACAATTTCAGTTCTACCTATGCCTACAAGGATTGTTCCATCAGCACAAATGCCATTTCATAACAACAAAAATGCAGCGGTGAAAGCATTTGAATTCCTCTGCAGCCAGTATCCGTTAATTTGCCAGTCTTATCATTTCGATGATAAAGAAGGAAGTAAATAAAACTATTTAAAACCACTCAATATCTGTTCTAATAAATGTTTATTATTCATATTAATCACATTCGCTTGGTAATAATTAATAATTATAATAATAATACTAATAGCAATAATAATAGTGATAATAGTAATAATTAATATTAATAATAAATAATAATAATAAAGATAATAATTGACTATGATAATAATATTAACAATAATAATAATAGTATGATATATGATTATGATTGCAATATCACATTTATTCGTACTTTAATCATTATTCCCACTTTTAATTCTGTTTTTATGCACAAATTTAATGTTAAATATTTTAAAATTATTTCCCAAATGCATTGTGCAGAGAGATATGTCTGTATGGTTAAATTACACATCATTAAAGAGGCAGATTATATTTTTAAAGTATTCATAAGTTTTGTAAATAATAATACAACAAACATTGCGATGAATTAAATGAATTAAATATTTTGATTTAAAAAAATTTTCACCTTCACTTCATCATTTATTTAATTTTTTTCGCAGATTTTCAGTTAAAATTTAACTAAGTTCAAATCTTTATGATACTATGAAAAGGAAATTGATTAGTTATTTTTTAATAAATAAAGCAAGAAAAAATGATTTTAATAAAATAACTTAAAATGAGGGAAAACATCGTTATCTCTTTTTTTTTTTTTTTTTTGCACAATATCTAGTGATAGATAAGCAATCTTTTAATATAACAGCGTACTTATTGAATTATCAGCTCAATCCAAAATTGATTTATTCTAATTTTCTTCACACAAAAAATTTTTTTCTTTGTACAGAAATTTTATAATTTAAACGATTACTTTATAAATGATGCATTTTATTATAATCAAAAAATCAGGAAAAAGTATGATTAAAAAATATAGAAAATTAATCAAAAAGAAAAAAGAAAAAATGCGAATTAATAAGTGAAATGAAATGATATTTTGTACTTATCACAAACAGATCACATATATTTCATTCAAGTTCCTAATTGTTTGCATCGCCCAAATGACCCACTCCAAGTTCCATTCATGCAAACTCGCCAACGGCTACCTTCCACTTCTAAGTAGTGATTAGGTGGACATATAAGCATTGCAATTGTCCCATGTGGGTATTTCAACGCATTCAAATTGATCAATTCCTGTAATAATAAATTGCAATTTTTATTATATCATTATATTTTATTAATTAGTCAACATCGTTTAAATGATTTTGAATTCCTTACCTTGATCATCATTTCAAAACCTTAAATCATTTTTTGTCCTTCCATTTATCTTGGAACTATTTCACACCTGTTCTATCTTAATCTTCACCTAATCGAACACAAATATGCTTTGTATGTTTGTAACAAATGAATGGAAAAAAAATTTTTTTTTTCAATTCCTTTTATGAATTGCTATTTTTAGCCGTAAACAAGCAATAAAATTTAAATTTCATTTGAATAAACGAAAGAAAAACGACTTCAAAATGTGAAGTTTAATTAATCAATGATAGGAATAAAAATTCAAATTAGCAAGTAGTAAGTTTTATTACCGGATTATAAGCAATGTATGGAATTGCTAATTTTGGTGGTGAACATGGCGCAATTTTGTAACGGAAGAAATTACATCCCTCTAAAATGTTTGAATAGAAATGAAATTAAAAATTTACAACATAGTAAGATTGCTTAATCTGATAATTACCTAAAGAAAATCATTCTGAAAGTTATTGCTGCATCATTTTATAATATCAAAAAGGAAAGTCGGTGAAAGTTATGTTATATTAAAATGAAAACAAATAAATATTGCTTTAGTCGAGTAAAATTTTTTATCTTTTTATTCTTCTTCCCTAAATGCGAATTATGAAGAATTCAACTATTTATCATAGCTATACGTCTAATTGTATTAACCGTAATAATTGTAATTGTATTAGCTATAACCGTAATAATTATATTAGCAAGCTTAAAATAACGATAAAATTGCTGGAGTCACATAATTTTTTAAATTCTCGAGATATCCACTCGAATTAAATTCTACATTTATTAATAACGTGACGATAAGACATGGGACAGTGTGTTAAAATTTTGAAAAATAATTTATCATTTTATTATTTCAATACCGAAAGAATGATTAATAGTTATTTTATTTCATGTGACAAAAAGTGTAAGATAAAATAAAATAATAAGCAAAATTTTAGGTGAAATATTGAAAAAGCTGGAATGGAACACTGAAAAAGACAGTAAGCAGAGCTATTAGCAATTAATATCACATAATTTGATAATATTCATAAGTTAATAATCAAAAAAAGCACCAACCTCCCATGACATTTGCAATTAAACCATATGCTAATATATTGTAAACAATCATTTTGATAGATTTTTGCTGCAGTCTGAAAAGAAGTAAATGCTTTTCTGAAAAGATAAGCAAAATAATCTTTTATTCCATTTCTGATATCAAATTTCATTTCTGATACCAAGTTAATAACAGGAAAAAAAATTTTTTTTCGTTCATATAACAAAGATGACATCTGAATAAATTTTTCCAAACATTATTTTCATAAAAATTTAAAATATTGAACTAAAACAACAAAATATAAAATATAATTATTAATAGATTAAAAAGCATATAATAAACTTGGATAACAAGCATCTAATCAATTATCATATCTAATCATATCATTTCCATTAATAATAAAGTTAAATATTTATAGATAACTTTTTCACCAAATGATTTGCGACAAAAATATATCTACCATTTATTAAAGAATTAAATAGTCATTTGCAACATATAAAAGTATAATACTTACTGTTTATCCGAAATACAACGGTCAAATCGGAAATAACCAGTTTTTCATGTTTTTGCATCATTAAATTGCTGAATTAAATGAGTGATAAGAGCTGTATATTTGATTTCAAATAGTTATCATTTCATTTAATAATTTTCTGCTAGGCTCTTTTTTCCTAATCGATCATTTGATTACACTCGCATATTATCATCCTTTATACAATTTTATTTCTTATAAACTGATTATTTGCTGACAAAAATTTTCACAATTATTTTCGAAAAAGAAAAAAATCTGTCTTTATATTTTTTGATAATTTTTTTTTATTAACAATGCTTCATTAAAGAGCAGAATGATTTAGTCGTAAAATTAGATATTAATAATTAATGAAACAAAGACGATGTGATTTATTAGCAAATATTATACTACTACTGAATGAGTGATAAGAGTAAATTCTATTAATGATATCATTTACATATTTGATAATCAAAGCAAGAAGTGATTGTTGAGGACACTTGTAAACATGCTACTTCGATTTAAATTTAACAAATTCTTACACGTATTAAGAGTCATTGATAATTAAACTGATTGCTCTGATGATTGCATGTCAAAAAGGTGGTCAGTAAGTGCAAATGCGCTTTTTGATAGAGGAATGTTACATCATCCATTGATATACTATTCTTTAAACAACTGAAATTTAAAAAATAGAATTTTGCTAGAATGTCGATTACTTAGATGAAAATGAGATGTGATTTTTGGCCAAATGAATGAGACAATGTGATTGTAATTTTTCATCGATGAAACTTTTGGTTTATTATATTATTGAAAAGCGAAAGTATGCATAAGTTCAGTACGCGACAGAATTATAGTTAGCCAAAGCAATTTAAATATGGCCAATTATGGAACTCATCGTAATTTTATACAGGTAGAACCATAAGCTATTGAAAAAGTTTTTATCAATCAAAAAATTTAATACATTTTTTTTTTTTTTGTATACATTGTAATCAGTCAATATGAAAGAGTTCTGATCGATAATTAACATTTTTTATTCTTATTAATATTTTTATCAACAAATCAATCAAATTTTATCAGAGTCCAATGAAATAATGGAACTATCAACTTGTGATTTTTTTTCTTGGTCAATTCAATTGCTGTCTATTCAATTGCTGAAAATACTTCCATTTTTTGAAAGAAATCAAAGTTCCAACGAAAAATTAATGATTCTAATTTGGAATTGAAAATAAGGCAACAAAAGATTTTTTATGGTTAATTGACTTAAAACAATAATTTTAATTACTTGTTATTTTATCCTTATCAACGCATTTTCCCAAAGTTGGCTTCCATATACCACCTGTGCATTTAGATTTTGCATTACCAAAAAGACGTTGTCCAGGTCGACATACAACGGTTATTATGGTACCAAGATTAATCTTTGGTGACTGAAAATTTCACATTTTTCAAAAAATATTTCAATAGATGAAAGTGATAAATTAAAGTTCACACTTAATGATGCAACAATGATAGATGAAAAAAACTTTACTGGTTTGTATTTCAATAATGGTTGTCCGTCGGATTCATACGGTTTACAAAAGTTTTCATCGTACTCTGGCTTCAATTGGCAAACACCTAAAATTGAAGTGCTTGAGAATTTTTAACCTTACTCTTTTTCAAGCATTACACAAATAATTCTTTCAAGATTGCAAGATAATAATCATACAATGACTTATAAGCAATATTTTTTGTGAAATATAAATTTAATAGTGAGTAGAATTTAATAACTGAAGTGAAATGAAATGAAGAAGTAACCAAGCTTTGGTCGCCATGTTCCATCAATACCGCATTTGGTGACATTATTACCATGAAGATCATGATAAGCGTGACATGCCAGGTAAGCGATGCTACCTACACCACGCATTGCACCATCTTTCAGCTCGTAACCAATGTAACCGTTTTTTATTGCTTTTAATTGTTGACATGTTACTAATTGAAATTCTAAAAAAAAAAAAAAAAAAAGATACAGCCATAGTGATCTTATTGAATGCTATCATAACTACTGATAAGTCTTAATTACTTTCTCATATTTATCAGATTCATTCAATTATGATACTATGAATCAAAGTTTAAGCATCATTTAAAGGCTTTTCGACAGAAACATTAGACAAAAAATTATTTTTCTGAAAATGTTAGCCAATAATCGGTTATGCATAGTCCATCAGATAGATAGGCTCCTTACCATTAATAAGCCTTAGATGTTCAACGAGTATAAGTTCAGTCCTTATCATTGAAATACTACCATAGTTATCTCTAATTTTTCAAGTTATATTCGTCGAAAAGTCGCAGAATTTCTTGTTACAACAGCCATTTAATATTTTTAGATAGTTTAATTGAAAACTTTATAGCAATAATATTTAAGCATTTGTAGAAATTTTACCATTAACAGTTAATGCTCTCAGACTGCAGGTGTACAGGACAACAGTAACCAGTATTGCAAGTTTCAGAACCATTATCTGACTGTATAATTATTAGAGACATATTCAAATTTTTAATCAAATTTTTGAATGAAAAATTGTACACGTTCATTATTACTACTTATTGTTGCTAAGTAAACGAAGAGAAAGACAAAGACAAAGCCAAGATTGCCATCGAGAACAGAATGCCATATGAGGCATAATGTTATGGTGGGGTAACATTTAATGCTTATGCGATAAAATGCTAAATATCAAATCTGTTATTGTGGGTTGAATTTTAAGCGGAGAATTTGAAACAATGAGTGAATTCAAAAGGAAGGAAAAAGATTTATCTGAAGTTGCATGCTATAGCTTACATCTATTTATATATGAAAATCTAATACTATTATCGGTAAAATGCTGTCAATGTGAACAATAAAATTTGCATTTAATCTATTGCAAACAGTTTGTCATAAGTCTCAGAATCAAAAGATTTTATTTGTTTGCGTGCAAACGCAAAAAAATTTTGCAGCACAAAGGGTAATTCTTAACACTTCAGATCAGAAATCATTTTTTTAGCAATTGACTGATTAGTCATAGAAATATTTAGCAAACTCTAAAAGAAGAATTTTTAGGTTAATAAAGATCTAAAAATGTGAGCACTATAATAACATATTGCATAGTAACCCATAAGTATCTATTTATACTTTATTAGTATTTCAATTTAACAAAATTTTTCTGCAATTATCTTGAAAGAAAAAATTAATTATTGACCGGTTTTTTTGAGTGATCTATTTCGGAGAGAGGCGCCACTGAATCCGGTCTTACAGTAAGTTAACTGTTGCTTTCGTTAATAGCAGCGTAGTTTAGTGTAGCATTTGTCATCCATTTTTGAATGGCAGTTCTAATCGGCGGATAATGTGACAACATTTCGTCGATTTGTCTGCCATTGTCATCGTAAAATGATGACGAAATAAATGAGAGCAGCATCAAATAAAATGAATTGATTCGTGGACAGATGAATCATTGAGCAAACAATCTTTTGCGTAATTTTGAATAATTTTTTTTTTATAAAATGAAGTAGCAAGATCAATTACTGTTAGATTAATGTCATCTGAAAGAAATGAAAATATCAAATTAAAAATTAAATTGAGCTTTGGAAATCAAATATCAACAACCTCCGACCATCTGAATGCAAATATATCGAAAATGAGTGCAACTTGTGATAAGAAATATTTCTGCAATAAATAATTTAATTTTTCAAATTATATATATATATATATGAATAAACGTTACACATACAAAATGAATTAAGAAGCGAGGAATATTTATCAGCGACATATCAGAAATTCATTTCAAATTTTACCATTTACAACAATCAAAAAAAAAAAAAATTTGTTTAAAAAAAACAAAAAAAAAAAAAAAAAAAAAAATGAAAAATGAAAAAGTCTTGATGAAAAATTGGAAAAAATTATATCGCTTCTGAACAAAATATATTTGAATAAAAAATACTTTATTTAACGTCTTATAGCACTTACGTTAATGATTTAAATGTTTGTTATCTGTAATTATTATATGTGTTTTATGAAAATTTGCAAAAAAAACTTTTTTTATTCAAGCATAGAAAATTATGATTACAATATATTGGCATGAATTGATCAAACGAATACTGTTAAAAGCATTTCTATTTGATTTATTTGTTTGCGAATTTTTCTTTTCTATGCTTTTGTCCACTTATTAAATTCAATAATTAGGTGACAATTTTGAGTTATATAGAAAAGTAAAATGTTGCCGCTTTGCTTTCCTTTCTTTCTCTTTCTTCCTTTCATCATCTGTCCTTTGTTTATTAATTTAAACTTAATAAAGATAGTTTAAAATAATTTTGTGTAAAATTTGTAATTTATAGTAGACAATAAATTGTTAACAAATGAATCAATGAAATCAATTCAAAAATGTAACAATATTTGATCTTTTTTTTTTTTGAAATTCGACTAATAATTATATTACAAATAATAATTATAGAAATGGTGGGAGGAATGAAAAATTTATCCATTTGAGTTAATATACAGAAGGTATTATTATTGTTATTAAATAATGTGTTCATATTTTTACGTACACTTAAATGTTTGCATTTTTCCTTTTATTTTACACATTAAACAATTAAATCATTGTATGATATTAACAAGTCTTTTTTGAGTATATCAAATGAATTACTTACATAACTAAACGTTTCCTTCCCTTTTTGCATACTATCTTATGCAAATTTTGCAGCAATAAGAATTTAGTCAAGCAAAAAAGTAAAAATAAAGAAATATAAATTAATAAAAAAGGTGGATCAATTTTCTCCACAATTTAAATAAAATTTTTCAAATTCAGTCATTTCAACTCAGATGACCTTTTTAAGTATTAACTATTTGTTTTATATTTTATCTTCTCCAAAAGTCTATTGAAAATTTAAAAAATTATGAATCATTTGGTATTCTGATATTAGGTTAAGAAACAGAACATTTTCAACTTCAGTAGGTTCTACTTTATTAGAAATTGTTTATTTCTTTTACTTTATTTTTTTTATCATATAAGTTGTGTGTTAAACGTTTAGTTCTTATTTTATATTAATTACGCTTAAAAATTCTTAACATTAATGATATATGATTGCATAATTAATAAGCAAATAAACCGATTTTCTCACACTGTTTATCACTGATCTTTCACCTATTACGTTTCATTTACCGGAATCGGAAATTACGATTTCCATAAATTTTTTATTCAAGTGACATTTGCAAAGAATGTTGCCTTAAAATCAACAAAAAATATAAAATAAAAAAGGTCATATATAACTTTAATAATTTCAATAAAAAAGAGACAAATAAAAAAATTAATTTTACATTCACTTTTCAATATATTCTCACCAATAAATTGCTTATTAATATTTGATAACAAAATACAAAAAATGCCAGGAAGAATTGAAAATTTGAAGTTTCTAAATATTAACTTTAGTATTGACAATAACATTCAGCGGCGTAATCAAAGGAATTCTTTCGCTTTTTTATTCGATTATTCATTACATAACTTTAAAGTAATACATTTCTTCGAGGTATTTAATTATAATTCATTGGCAGCTAACATACTGATGAATATCCTGAAAATTATTTATAGTTATATTTTAAAAATTCTAATCCATTTTAAATCACAAAACCAAAGGGATAATTATAGCATTATCAGTTTATCATGACTAGTTTACCGGGTATGTATATATAGTAAAAACTTGCTTCCTTTTAAAAGTTGAAACCGGATCTATGAGTCAAATTTATTCCGTGTTAAATAATAACTTTGGAAATAGGTTACTATGCCAATGTTAACTGCTTATTAATGATTTGCAAAGTTAGACGATAGAAAGCTCAAATGGTTTACCGATTAAAAATTTTTGCTGAACATACAACGCTATTCTTTTACTACTGTTTTGAGCAATTTCATTTCCGGAGTACATCCCAAGTGATAGTATTTTTTTAGAGAAAAAATGAAACGAAAGGAAATATTTCGAAAAATGATTAACCATTTACATAAGTAATCCTATCTATGCTTTACGTTTCATGCTGCCACAACTATTTTACTTGCTGATTGTCGGTAAAAAATTAATTCAATATATTCCTTTAAAGTTTTCCGGAATCGACTTCCAAATGCAAAATAGATGAGAAAATTGCAAGATGAATTAAGAACTACTATCAAATTTGATAAATCGATCAGATATGCATTTATATAGCCAAATATTAATTCCAAGAAATTTACAGTTAATGGCTGGAAAAAACGGATAATTAAAAAAAAAAAAAAACATTTCAGACATTTCAAATTACACGTACCAATTGATTAGATAGTAATCATATCATATCATTATTTTTTATCAAAAGAAATTAAATGAGTGCGCAAAAAAATTTAACTCACTAACCTTATGGGAAAAGAAAAAACTATTCATGTTGAATTATTATATCCAAAAATTTTCTGTTTCATTCGCTCATTTTAACAAATTTTTTTAGGCAGGACAAATTTAATAAATATTATTTTAATTTTCTTGAAATAAAGCTTACCAAAATATTACATGTAATAAAAAGGCAAACGACAACAACAAGTGTAATAATATCCGAATCACCGGAAACCGGTAACGTATTCCGTAATGCAATAATTATTGCCGAATTAAGCGCAATAAGTATCAAAACTGGACCAACAGCCATTACTGCCGTATACATCCAAGCATAATATACTGTTAAATATAACTGCAACTTTCTTTTCTTTTCTCCTATTCAGTTTTCTAATTTCAATATCTTTTTTTATCAAAATAATAGCGAAAAAAATAATTTTCCGTTTCTCTCCCTCTTTCTCTGTCACCTCCTTTAATTTAAAATAAATAAAATGAAATAAGTTAAAATAAGAATTAGTAACGAATGAGTTAATTAAATTGAAATTAACATCAATTAACTCGTTCTATCACACCTATCAAGGTTGCGTTTTTCTTCTCTTTGTTGCCTCAAAAAAAAGAAAAAAGCCTAGCTGTGTACCTGACTTTGCCGTAGATCAGTTGGACATACATCAATACTTTTCTCAAAATATACAATATTCCAACAAGTTATAACATTAATTTCAAACATGTGCGGACTATTGTAAAGCATAGCCAACATAGAAATCATTCCAACCATCTGAAAAAAAAAGAACTTTCCTAATTTTCAATTTCAATTTTTGATGCTGTTTGTTTTCTTTTAGTGCTAACTTTTAATCATAATTAGTGAATTACTAGTTAGATTGGACTAAAGAAAAATAAATTCTTAAAATGCTGCTAAGAAGTAAGAGCTAAGATAAAAGCTTGGTCAGAATTACTTCACTTTACTAATAAGTAACAATCAGTCTAACCTTAATAGCAGTTGTTGCGCTACAAAACCGTCGTTTGCAATTAGGATTCGAATAAATTAAGAGAAAGCAATCAATGGCTGATGTGACGGTCAAAAATACCGACAAAGACTGGGCAGTGAGACCGAGCGGAAATGCTATCGGTGTAAGCATTGCAAAAATTTTTGATAATAGCAATGATTTGTAGCGTAAATTTTCGATAAAAAATAAAAAAAATGCGGTAAGTATGATAATTATATCAGATATTGCTAATGCACATAAATAAATATTCATCGAGCTAAATTAATCAAATTGAAAAGTGGGACTGATTTAAGTCATCAAAGGAAATGAATAAAAATTAAATTAATGAATAGAAAATTATGTCATAAATGTTAGTCAGTATCATTAATTATTTGATTTATTGATCAGATAAGAATATTTCGAAGTCAAAATAAGCTAAATAAATCGTTTGACTTATTGCATTTAAGGATGTAATGGGTCCATAATAACAAATAATATTACTGTATTCATTCCTTCATTTATTGATTATAATCATTCAAATTCCAACTTTCATTTTGCTTTAACAAATTTCACCATTTACAACAATTCTTATAAATTTTGAATTATAGGCAAAGAGAAAAGTAAATATTTGTATTTATTTATTCTTTGAAAAATAAAACAAACCTGCGCATAGATTTCCGACTATAAATGAAAGCTGAAATGCCATTCCCGCATAAACCAAATAACCCAATTACTGGTAAGAGTATCCTAATAACCATCTAAAAAATATACAAGGAAAGAAATGAAAAGAAATCAAAACATTTTTTAAATGATGTGAAATGAAATTTTGTTCAGTGTTATCAAGTTTTTTAAATAACTTTCTTATACGTGTATTTAATCATACATATTCATTTGATCATATGCTCTGAACAATAAAATTATAAATTCCGTTTTTGGAACTTATAAAAAAAAAAACTATGAAGCAATAGAACGAATTACTTATAATTTGAATTTCTTTTTGACCTTAAGTTATTGTCAATTTATATTATCAGATTGTGTTAGCTACAAATATCAAAGCAATAACTTTAAAAACAAATTTACTTTAATCTCAATATAACTGGTTCATATAATTACTTAGACTGATCACAATGAATTATTTTTCAATATTAGCCATAAATCAAAATTCTAAATTTTTTCATTACTACAAAAAAATGCTGTTTATGTGGTTGATAATTTTATCTTTTTTATGTTAACAATTATATTAATCAACTCATTCATATATTCCATAATCACTTGAAATGTGAAATAAATTCTCAATTATTATTTACCAATTTGTTAGCAGAAATCATACCATATTATATAGTTCATAGTTGTTGCTTGATTCAAGTGTTATGTTAAAATGATAACAGTATCCACAAACTGGCAAACCATAACAGTAACCGTCATTTATTGTTGTATTGGTACAAATGGAATGATTAATTGAATCCATCTATTAGTCCATCAATAAATTTATTAAAATAAGTTGTTTTAAATTATCCTAAAAATAAATTTATTCCAAATTTTATTAGAACTTCAAAAAACAATAACAAGAATTTGTGCAATTGTACATTGTATTTCTATTTCGTTAGTATTTAACCGGTAGTGTAAAATATTACACTCATTTTAATTCAAAAAATTTATCTCCCATAATCTAATGCATATCAATTAGTATAATTAATATGTCTTAAATTAACATCTTGGTGTAATATAATGTATAACAAAACTGATTTCATAATGCTAAAATTTTAAAGCTGATTAAAAGCAATAGAATATAAAACGGAATGGAATATTATCAATAACGGTAACATTTGGATATCACATTTATTGATTACATGCAGTGATTAGCATTCGATAAATTATTCAAGCAAAAATGTCAATTATTGCGTTTTAGTACAGTAGCATTATACAGTAGATACAAGATACAATACCGTGTGTTGCAATTTAGATCCATCCTAAGGATAAACATGTTTCATGTTAGATATTTTTTTTCTATTATACATTTTTATAGGCTGATAGTAGAAATTTATAATACTCAAAGTGATAAATATATAATAACATTTAAATTATCATCTTTTAGCTATAACATTAATGAGAAACAAGAAAGAAAGAACAAAATCGGTAGATTTTTTTTATTGTCCTTAACAATATCACATCTTTCTGATAATACCTATTTTCTCATTTTCTCTCTTTTTTTTTTATCCCAATTAATATATTCATACATTTGTTGTTTGATAATTTTGTTAATTTAAGAAGCATAATGATTCCAGAGTGACAGAATTTAATTAAATTTTTTTTTTTTTTTTTAAATAAACATTAATATGAACTTTCAGATCTATTTAAGGATTTAGGCAATTCATCGAGTAAAAATATAAAATAAAAATATCAAAAAATATGGTGGCAGCATAGTTATTAAAGGAAATGAATGTGGTATTTGTCATTTTGCACTACTTCAATAAATTCCTGTTATGCTCAATTATTCTTTTTCTATATATTATTTGTCAACAAATGAAGGCGAAAAAAACGAAATAAGCATGGTAAATAAGAAATCATAATATTTGATTATAACTGTTAAATGCTTTTTTTTGGTTTGAAATATTTTAATACTTAGTATGAATGTCAACTGATACTGCTATAACACTCTAAAAAATGTTAAAATTTTACTTTTCTAAAAAAAAATTAATTAAACAAATATAATTTTGTAAACAGTTTTGAATGAAAATCAATATAGCTTATGGAAACATGCAATATCCACAGCAACAATAGCATTTTAAACCAAGTTAAAATTAAACCAACAAAATTTTTTGGTAACACATGTTCAAGAAAGAAAACAAATAAAAATTGAAAATGAAGAAAATACATCACAGTTGTATCATGACAATTAATTGGATGAATAAAAATAATATTACCAAAAAAAGATTTCTGTCTACGAATTTAATAAATTTGTCGATGAGCACTCATGTTGTGATGATAGAACAAAATTAATTTTTCCCTTTTTAATAATCGTCTTATATTTAACGCAAGATATGTTTTTTTCCTTTTTTCTTCAATACGTATTTTTATAATGAATGATTAAAAAATTACGGAACGTTTTCGTCTTTTTTTTACATAGATACCTCTAAAAAATTTTAAATGAAAGCATGAATAATTAATGCTGAAATAATTCATTGGATTATTTAAATTAAGCAAAAATTAACAAATTGAAATGGACAAGTAAAGCATTTATGCTATTAAATAACTAGTTTTGAAATACATATGTTAAGTTGTGGTTTTGAGTTTAATTCTGAGGCAAATGAAACATTTGATTTTAAAATTCAACAGGATTAGCTAAGCATTAAATGTGATCTAGCCAAAAAAAAAAAAAAAAAGAAGAAAAATTAAAAAATTGATGAGAATAAGAAATGAAAATGAAGAATTAATTCAACAACATACTGTAAAAGGAAAAAAAAAGAGTCTATTTTGTTCACTAAAACAAAGCCATGTGAGGAAATAAGCTTGGAATGAATACTTGGCCAAGATCTGTCACATCGAAATACCATCAGAACCATCGAAGTGTCATTGAAGCGTATTTAGGCTTTGATGAATAGTCAAGTGAATTAGTTAGCAATTGAAGCTATTAAAGAATGTAGCAAAAGAAAACGAAATAAACGAAACATTTGGTGTGATATATACAAATCAATTGTGACTGATTGATATTTGATTAATTAAGGAATAAATGTATGAATTATTGCGGTTATTTTATTAATTGCATGATGATGATGATGCTGATAATAATAATAATTATAATAATAATCAATTGCATTTAATAACAGAAAAAAAAAGAAATAAATTATAAATTATAAATAATATAAATTTTCAATTTTCGGTGCTTCATAAGGCTGCAAAATTTTGAAAACTTTATACTTCTATGATGAATTATGATGAGTCAACTGATGACTATGCCTTATAAACATTTATTCTAATAGCATTTGTTATCAGATCATTGCACATTATGCGCAAAATTGCAAAATTTTACCTACGTTAATTGCGCCAATATAATTGCATTTTTTTTGGCTTAATCATTAATTAAATTAATATTGCGCTATGTGGAACCAAAAATAAATAGCAAAAATCGGTGAAAATATTTGAAATGCTGAAATTTAAATCAATAATGTTGAAAATACACCATTTAATTTTATAAAAAAACCTAATAACAACTTTAATGACGAAAAAAAAGTTCATTAATTTGATAAAAGTAAAAGAGATTGTTAAGGACTGAAAGAGAGAATATTAGGAATTTAAATACTTAAAGATTAAATTGAAACAATTCATTTGCTCCTGTGTTTACACCACCGAATAAGGTGAAATCTTTTATTTTTTAAGGAAAAAAAAAGTTGTATTAATGTTCATTGATATTAACCAACGCAGAAAGTGGAACTTTTATTTAGTTAAAAAAGTAAGCACTGCACAGAATTCTCTTTCTTCGGTATCATGAATACGGTATTGTATCCAGCATTGTGCTTATTTGTCAGTTAATCCGGAATATCCTTTCTACAATAATTACCTTCAAATATTATATGAATTCCACTGCTAATGATTAGAGAAAAATAGTTAAAAAAATTCGAAATATAATGCTAATTTTAACCACAAGTTTTTTATCTGAACGAATTCGCAAATATTTATTTCTGAAAAAATTTTTAAAAATTTTTGAAAGGATAGAATTTAAGAAAAAGAAAAAATTCAGTTTTATTAAACTAACACATTCGTAATATTTTTACTAGAATTTTATGCAATTTCTATTTTTTTCTTTTCTTTTGAAGGAATTTTTTATTGTTCGACTTTTCCTTTCAAAGCAAATTTTAATTCATAAATCAAAACATTCATGTTTGCCCACTTATAAGATATTTTATTTTTCCTACTTTTGCAATTATGACAACTAATAACAACATAGTAAAATATTATTGCGGCGCAACTCTTTAAGTATTGTTTATATCCATTTGGTTGTGTTTGTACTACGGAATTTGAATTTAAAAAATTATGGTGAATAACTTTTAAGTGATATTTTTGATAAAATGAAAAGCCATCCTAGCTTTTTTTACCTTTTTTATTTTGAAGTTTATTTTTTATTAAACTTACACATTCGTAAAATCTCTTAAAACTTTAAAAAGACAAAATTAAAATGAAAAACGAAAAGCGAAGTTTTGTTCAAAATTTCATGGATGGTAAGTTATCATTACAAAAAAAGCCGTAACATAAAGATTTTTCTATTTTTGGAGAGAGAATAAGGAAATGGTGTTTTGTCAATTCCGGAATTTCAAACTTTTTCTATTTCAGAGAAACGGTTAACTAACAATTGCGCAAACCAAAATTAGTTTGCTAGAATTGATTTTACTTTGCTCTATTGGTGCTATATGAATGGCGTCAACGAATGAGATGAGAAATCATTACGAACTTCAAAATTTATCAAATATTTTATTAAACTAAATGATGCAAATAAGTAAGTTAAAAGGATGTAATTCCAATCGTTTTTAGAAAATATTTAACAACAAGAAGCATATAGAAAATCTTTGAAATCTCTTGGAATTCCCTAAATTTATTCAATAATTTCATATAAATGCATCTGCCGGTATTTAACAAAATCTGATATTCAATCACTTATCCAGTCATCCATATATACTTCTAATGTAAATATACATTTACTGTAGCATATGTATATGATTCGCTGGTAATTGAAAAATTTGATCATTAAAAATAATAAATGGAATTAAGAATTTAATTTTAAAAAATTTTATGCAATGTGTACGTAACAAAAAATGTAATGAAAATTGCATAGGGTAAAGAAATAAGAAAGTGATAAGAAAAAATAAAAAAGTAGATAGGAATGAATGAATGAGTGGTTGATTGACATTCATCTGAGGAGTTGGTAATTGGATTTAGGATTATGAAGTCATGAACGATCTTAAATAAAAAATCTTAAGTAATAAATAAATTATGCATAATATCTCTTCACAGTGTTTATCGTGTCATTCTAACTTTGAAATTATATTTTGTTGCAACTTCTAAATTATTTTCGGCACACATAGGAAATCAAATATTTGATATCATATTTTGCCAAAAATATAAAATAAATTTCGAATAATTCATCAAAATCGCTGTGATTATATCATGCACTAAAAATTCAATTACAATTGCAACAAATACACATCCATCTTTTTTTCTTTTTTTTTTTTTTTTTTTTTTTTTTTTTGCATCTTTGATAAGCGTAGTAAACTCATTGAATTATAAAACAGTATTAGTAAAATAATTAATTCTACTGATTAAATAATTTCCTTAATGAGTAATTAAAATTTTTTTATAGTAGGATGAGACATCCATTGAAAACGACCATTTGCTCATTGTTATTGAATGAATTTCTTTAATTATTTGAGTTAGTCAACGCAATTTGTTTATTTATTTTCAACATTCTTTCATATA